TTGAAACTTATGCATTTTGTTAGTTGCTGAGTGACCTGTGCAAGAAGCAGCACATGGAGCCACACAAATTTGTATGTAAATTTATATATAGTTATACATTACTCAAAATGCCTTTTTAAGTCATCTTTTAGTGTAGTCAAGTGAATGTCAAAACTAGAATCACCATTTCATGATTTTGTTGATACACACGTACACGGATCTTACTTCAGGAGCATCTTGTGATATAAATTTAGCTTCAAACCTAGAATTACTATTTTGTGATCTTTTTAATACACACATATATACACACATATATGTAAATAATACCCGTTTTTGGTTTTCGTTGATATCTTGATGATAGGGACATGGAAGGTTATTTCTTTGATTGATGTCCTTAATGATTTCAAGAGTCTATTGATAAGAGGAAATGGGTTTGTGAGTTGTCGGCGGTGTTTTCTTGTAAGGTTTTTCTTGGCTCTATTATTGATGATTCTTCGTATCCTTACTTTTTGCCGACTATCATGATTTGGAAAGTCAAAATACCCATTAAAGTGAAGTTTTCGCATGGATTGTTGCACATGGTAAGATTAATATCAATGAGATGCTTCAAAAAAGGAGACAACTTATCTTTCCCCTCAATGGTGTGTAGTAAAGGTGATTTTAAAAGCATTGATTATTGATTCTTACACTGTCCTATTGTTGGGTCTTTATGGCATAAGTTGTTTACCTTGGTGGGTTTGAGTTGGGTGTCTCCTTTGTCATCTACTTCATTGTTTATTGAAGCTTTGAAAGACTTTGGGTGGAGTAAAAAAGGAGTGACTCTGTGGAATTGTGTACTTGTGACCTTCTATCTTTGAAAATGCAAGAATTTTCGAAGAAAGAAGCGAGGATGTGGTTGGATTATGGGATCATATTCATTTCATAGCATCTTTATGGTCATCAGTTTCTACAGCATTCAAAGGAATCCCTTTGTTTAGTATTTTGGCTGGATGGAAAGCTTCTTGTGCTTGATTATTTTTACTTTTTTCCTTTTGCTTGTTTTCAGTCCATTGGTTGGATTTCTTATCCAACTCTTTCTATGTTTTTTGCAAGTTTTTATTAATAAAACATATATGTTTCCTATCACAAAAAAAAAAAAAAAAATTTGTGATCTATATATATGTTACTAATATGTTGTGGTGTCTAAAAGAGTGCCAGTGATATCTCAATTTTGTCAGAATTTGTATTTATAGTCCTCGTAGTGCATATTTTTGCAAGGTGGTCTTGATTGAAGACAAGCCTTGACAAAATAATTAACTAGCTTTCCGCTTCATCTTAATGTTGCACATACTTGTGTAATGAGGAATGTGCTTTAGTCCTTTTTAATTGTATATGATTTCAGTTGTTATGGTTTAAGTAGTTAAAGTTAATATTTGAAGAAGATAAGTTTATGGTATCACAGTTTAACATGAGGTTTCACTGTTATTAGTTTCTTTTAAATATCGGTGATGCAAAGAATGAGAAGTAAGATCTCCAAAGATAGTAAACATATAGCAAATAAATAAATTTTAACTTTTAAATTGGCTATTAGATTTGTGGATGCATACAGTTTAATTTTGGGTGTGTGTGTGTGACTTGTACACCAGTGGTCTCCATCTACATTGAATGCAAGATGATGTTAAGAAATAGAGTGAATAACCTATTATTAATGGGTTTGAACTGCTTTTTAGTTATGAATTAGTTTTAAGTGCTGGCTGAGTCCATGATTTAGGAAACAGACTACCTTGATACTTAAGAAGCAGACTCTCTCGGGTTACTCGTGATAATTGGTTCCCACGTGATTGCGTTTATCCAAGGGGATGTTGACTCCAATATTTTTTTATTTTGGGGGGGGGAGGGGTTGGAGATGTGTTACATTCCTATTTCTTGCCAAGTAATACTTTCTTTTGTTCATTTATCAATATAATACTTATCATTTTGTGTCTTTGATCTTCCTTCTTTCAGGAGGAGGACGTACAGCAACAGCTAGTTGAAGAGCTTGTACGGCGGAAGTACCTCTTTTCTTGAAGTTAATTATGTTCTTTCTCTATACCCAACTGTTGGGTTGTTGGAATCTCCTACACTAATAAGACAGTATCAGCTTGGTTTGCTGCTCTCTATGTAGTGATTTTATCTGTTTCTGTTCATCAGGTTGTCTTTGTAAAGTGTAACACTTGCAGGAGTGATGGATTTTGGTTTTTTTTGCTATGCAGCTTTGAATGCTTTTCTTCGTCAGCCTTTGCTATTATTTACAGAGATGCAAAAATTAGTTATTCTAATTATCTGATGGTGTTGTTTGCGTTTTTTGTTTTGATCTTCTAATTCCTTGACGAAATTATGGTTGAATGTTAATGGTGTGATGTCTTTTATGTTACTCTGCCATCGTCTGCAAACAGTTCCATAGTTCGCTGTTGTGAGTTTCAGTAAGGCTTTTGTTATCCTAATTTTACTTGTCTTGTAATGTGAATAGGAAGATTAACAGATCAACGTGTGTCTTTGTGAGATGCAACTTACTGGTAAGATTATTTATGGGAGCAAGGGGCGGGGGAGAGAAGGGGTGGGGGCTTGATACATAAAGAACAAACATTATGTACATGATATGACTCCTTTCTTGGCTGTGAGTGTAATGATTTATTTATTGGCTCTGGCCTGTAGGGTGCTATTGCGAAGCCTTTGGATTGGAAAATTGGCAAATAAAGAACATTCCAACCAAATCCAGCATAGCCTTCTTCAGTTCTTCAACGACCCCATGACAAAATAGGAAAGCTCACAGATTGCACAAAATTTGAACGTTAAATATGGTTGACCACCATATCAATCCACAACTTAAAAAATAACTTTGCCAGTCTGAAGATTTTCAGGCAGATACAGGCATTAATCCACCAAACTCACAACACAACTTGAGTGGGATGTTATGCCTCAAAGCTGATTCTTAATATAACATTATTAGCCGATAATCAACAGTTTTGCATGTCATCATCGTCACGATAAATGCTCTCAGCCAACTGCCAGACCTGAAGGGCATTGTCATCTGCCACACTTGAAATTACCCATGGCTCATTCTTGTTCCACGAGAAATCAGATATCTTTGCTTTGTGACCACCGTGAGAGAAGAGAAGCTCAGGAGGACCATCTTCAGCTTCTCCTTCCAACTGCTCATCTCCAATCCTGTAAGGCGTGACTAAATCAGTTGCAAAAAAGCAAAAATTGCACCGCATATAATCTCAACACTAGGAATGTTAAGCATGAACTGGACAATATAGAGTCAATTGCCATTATAACTGACCGGTTTATGGATTGATGCACATATAAGTCACAGATGCAGCATGCGTAAGGATTTAACCAAATCAAACAAACATTGGCTTCATAAAGGAGCTCCACTATAGGTTTTCCATTGATCTTTTTCATGGATAACACATAACAGCAACAATGGAGAGTAAAGGGAAAAGTGGTGAATATTATTTATTTATAAATTGATTTCCTTTTACGAAATCAGTTGGGAAGAAGCAAGTGTGCTTCAGTCAACTTCAAGGGTTTTGGAATAGACCAAAAGGGAATTTTGGGAATCTTTAAATATAGGGGAAAATTACATTTGACCCTCTCAATTATGACCCTTTTTTCACGCTGTCCCCCTCAACTATCATGTTTTTCATATTGCACCCTCAACTATGTAACTAATTTTCCATCCCCCAATTATTAACATCCGTTACATATTTAACAGAAAATTGTTTCATTTTGCCCCCCGAACTATATAATTTTTTCATTTTACCCTGACATGCCAGCAATTTCCATCCAAAAAGATGACAGACGTTTGCAATTGGGGACTGTGAAATAATTCAAGTAGTTGAGGGGAGTTCAGTAGTTTAAGAGGAAAAGTGAAATTTAGTCCATAGTTTAAGGCCTCAAAGTGTAATTTACCCTTATATATGGGAATATATATGTTACATGTTATATATGTTCGTCTAGGGGAAAACTCAACCCTAGACGAACATATATAACATGTAACAAATCAAATGCATTACTGATGTTTCTAGCATCAAGTTTAGTGTAAAATACCTATTAAGGTCCCAAACCATCAACCTTCGGTCATCAGCAGAAGATGCCAACACTGTTTCATGGTTAGGATCCCATTCTACTTGGAATACCTCTTCTCTGCAAAAAAACACAGCTCCATAAGCAAGAACCAACAGTTTACACAATATTGTCGAAAAGAAATGCATAGAAAAATTGTTCCAATACTAGCCACAAAGTTCAGTTAAACATGAAATCAGTATTACATTTGTGTGGCATCTGTGGACACAACAAACTTTTTTCAAAAGTCACATCAATTCACTTGGTATTGTCACAACCAAATTTAAAATTTAGAAGTTGGCAAGCCTACCAATTAAGTAAAAATAGGTAAAACCTACAGTTGAAGGCCACATAAAATTGAAGACCCTAGTGTGGCACTGATTTTGGACAAGCTATGTTGAGCTGAGTTGTTCAGTCTAGTGTCTTACTTATTTTGTTTGCATGTATGGGAACTCAGCTTACATTAAAACTTTACTTTTCAACCCAACTCAAACATACCTTTTATACCAACCAAAAACACTACTTTGATGCATGGTATTCAATAAGGTAACGGTTATCTCAGACCGTGTTCTAGAAAAGTGGCCTACTTGAAGAAGGGACAGGAACTCTTGTCTTTCAACCCCACTACACTCTAATGCACAAAACTGCTTTCTCCACTATGCTTCTTTTAAGCCCATATCTTTTCTTGGAATATGAATATTACCGTTTTGTAAATAATTACTCAATTTTAGCCTTATCTTTTGGCTCATAGTAAGTAGTAACTGCCCTCATGTTGCAACATATTCTTAAGTCCAAACAGAAGCATCAATCCATTATGGCAAAGAGAAGTAAGACGATAACAACAGCAAAACAACAATAAACACAAAAACACAAGGCAAAAACAAGATTTACATGGTTTGCCATTAAGGCCTGCATCCACAGGCGACCAAAATCGACATGAATCATTGTGGAGAAGAAAATTAGAAGATGGCTTTCTAAAGCTCTCAAAGAAGTAAAAAATCTTAATCACTTTGCAGAATATGATCAAACAAACTGAGTTTTTTAGCTCTGTGGGTACATTAAATAAAATTGAATGGTTAAAGATGCAGGCAGACATAGAAGTCCATTCAGTTACACAACCCTTTTCTATTTCAAGTCTTTTTATTTAATTGGTCAGCAATTCTAACCCACTTCTCATACACTATTTAAACGTACCACACAGGGTAGCGTGAACATTTAAAGCACCCACAGAAGCACTCAAATAAGATCAGGAATCAAAGACTCAATAAAAAAATAAGGTAGAAGAAAAGAAAAAAAAGAGAAAAGAAAAAAAGGAAAAAAAAGGGGGGGGGGGGGGTTGAACAGTAATTAATCTAAAATGGTATCAGCTTTTACAATCAAACTCAAAGTGAAAGGACATACGTGTGGCTACTCAAAACATGCAATGGCGAACTCAGCTTTCGCACATCGAACAGACCAACAGTAGTATCAGAAGATGCTGTAGCCACAACCCACTCATTATATGGATTGAAAGATAAATAATTCACCTGAGAGCAAGGGATAAAATCTATTAGTAACAATCCGACAAAGTTTCTCCCACACAGACCAGACATATGAAACAGAGAGGATTGGTAGTTTCAAGATTATGAACGTAAATGAAGCTGGAAAATAGAACTAGCAAGTAAAAATTATGTGAAAAGAAAGCAGGTCTTTTTGGACCTAAAGGATTGGTTCATACACTCCATTAAGTTTATATTAAAAGGCAGCTCACTAACAGAGTGTTTTACAGTGGATAAGCACACAATTATTCTAATGCTATTCAAGAGACGATAATTAAGAAACAATATTAAGTATTTTCGTCAAGCATGTAAACACATCTTTAGTATTTAGTATAATTAAGAAACAAAAAAGAAACAATATTCAAGAGACGATATTCAAGAAACGATAATTAAGAAACAAAAAAGAATGTAAGCACATCTTTAGTATTTTTGTCAAGCAATATTCAACAGATAGCGTAATCAAATTTTTCCAATGAGGAACTAAATTTTGAAAATACATCTATACAGCTTTCTCCAGTTTCAAATCTCAACTAAACAGACTCCATATAGAAAAAAAAAAAAGCAAACTTTGATCTAAATTACTTCAGAGACAGAGAAGATCATGCCCTCAATTCTTACTAGCCTAAGAAGTAGCAGCATTCCACCGGGAAACTTAAACAAAAGTGCAAGACATACAGAATCCTTGCACTGCTTAAAAAGTGCAACAACAACTATGTTCATGCAGTATCTACCAATATGTTTTTAAGAGGAAAATACAGGTAGATGGTGAACGCAAATGTGGTAGACTACCCAGAAAAACAAAGAATACCGTTATGAATAGAGGGTTGAAAGATAATATATAGGGACCATGGGTAACCATATCCCGAAAGTGCTTTATGTTGAGAATAAAAACATCTTGTATTTATTCCAAGTTGGGAAATCCACAATATAGATCACAAATTCTCTATAGTTCATTCATAAGACACTCTGACATTTTATTCATTTATGGTGTTAATATTCTATTTTTCCCTCCCATAGAAAATGGCGTACAATATACAACCAAAATTTCATCAAGATCACAACCCTCTGGTGGCCCCACCTTTGTCTCCTGTTTATTGTATTCCGTTAGGTGTTTAAAGCTATCGAGTAAGCACAAAAGATGTTTGCTTTGGATTCGACTATATCTCAGATAGCCGCTACAAAGCAGTAAAGTAACTAAAGTAACTCACAAGGTTCCATTTAACTTCCAAAATTATTTTAATGAAAAAAAAAATTCCGTGACAATGCATGGTGGGGAAACACCAAAATATGCTGAGACATACAACTCAAAAATCTATGCAAGTGTTTGCACAACACAAATGAAAGCTATATTTTCAATTTTTGAATTTAGATTCTAGCACTGGAGTTTCACTGGTTGAAGAAAAAGTTGCCAACTAGCCATAGCAAGATCTCGAGGAGAAACACTAACGAAGCACTTAACAGTATTGCATCACCTCTTTCTCATGCACTACGACAGAGTGTTGGGGCTTGTTTGTACGCAAGTCCCAAATAATTAATCTGCAATCATCTCCTACAGACCCAAATAAATTTTCATTCTTCAAATGCCAAGAGACATCCTCAACCACACTTTGATGATCCTAAATCAACATTATCAGAAGTGTTATGATAAGCAACTGAACCAAGCTGAAAATAATTTCTTATCTGCAAATGTAACTGCAGAAATAATATTTGTGACCAAGAAAAATTGAACAAAGCACCAAATTTACCTCATAAACATGCTTTGCCTCTAGCACTTTATCTTGAGGCGTTGCAGAGATATCCCACAAACAAATTTTGCAATCATTTGAAGCACTTAAAAGGTACCCCTCTTTGAATGGGCTCCATGATAATCCATACCCTTCTTTATCATGTCCCCTCAATCTCAAATCAGGATCACAAGAACCCCCTTCGTGATTCACTGGCTGTTTGGTAGAGTCAAATACGTACACTTCACAACTACTGGTCTTTGCCGCAACAACAGATGGGTTCTGCGACATACATCGTGCTCTGTTCACTTCTCCATCGACATATATCTTTTGAACTATCTCCACCTGTACGCATATGAAACAACTAAGAATGCGACAGTCTAATTAGTCTTTTCATCAAACAGTTGGTGCATACCACTTATACAATCAGATAGACAAACTCCCACACGCGTGAGCATATATATATTACATGTATGTGGTTGTGGGCCTGTTAGACCGCAAATGCCTATATAAATAACAGCGCCTCTGAAGTATGAACTTAATGGTTCTGTCCAATGAAGAAACAGTGAGGAAATGAGACGGAACGGGAAAAAAAATGAAGAAATAAGAAAATGGATTTCCTCTACGAAGAATATTGGACTGCTTAAGTTCAGAATTCTGTCTTCTATTCGTACGTATTGTTTTCCTCAAAAATTTTCAATCAGCCAAACAAGAGCACATATAGTTCGCTACAACTTCTAGTTGCCGCTTTCCAAGTTCACATACATTCCAATACACAAACACACATACGTATATGTAAACATACGACTCTTCATGTATCTAGCCGTCAAAGGAAAGCATTTTCTGTTGGCCATTCCGTCTAACAGTTAGTGCACAAACATAGACATGTTCATCCATTACTAACCTTTGGAATGTTGGGGTATTCGAAGTTGGTTTCGACAGCCGAGGCCGGGTTTTTTGGGAGGTGGACATCGGCGACCATGAGAAAGTTGGGGAAATCGTCGGAGGTGTGGGTCCCAAGAATCAGCTTGTGTACTGCGAAAGACCCGTCGTCGGAATCGGACGATGGGGGCGATGGGAGCCACTGAACGGTGAGAGACGGCCACTCGAGTGAGTGAGAGATGACCAGATCGTACAAAAATGGAGTGTTCTTCTTCCATACCGTGAATTCCTCCTCCACCTGAACAAGCTCCGCCTCTTCTTCCTCTCCCATCTCTCTCTCTCAGTTTCTGTTTCCCGCCAAAAATGTGGTGCTCGCAAGCGAGGGTTTTACCGAGACTTGGAACCGAGCTTCGTACAGAAAATATAGTCTGGGTCTCGGGTATTCTTGTTATTATTAATGAGTTTATTCTGTACATGTGCCACGTGCACCACAATTTCTAATAGCATTTGAGTAATGCTACTCTTATTTGGATTCTTTTTCTAATTTAATTTATTAATCTAATCTAATATTATTTTTACATTAATATAATAATTAAATATTAAATGACATTTATTATCAATGTAACAGTTGTATTGAATTAGATCGATAAATTAAATTTGAATAATATTAGTGATAATATTAAACCGAATTTTTGTCCAAGAAGACTTAGCTTATCCAAATATTAGATGACATCAGTTATTTGTCAATTCAAAAATTATATTAAATTAATTTAATAAATTAAATTTGAATAATATTAGTTAACTAGTTATTATCTGTGCCTGAAGACACAGAATAATAAAAAATGATAAACAATAAATATATTTGTGATTAATATCCAAAATTAAATCACAAATATAAAAATAAAATAAAAAAATTTAAGTGTCGATTTGTAGTGGAGGCGAGAGGTGATGGGCGACAATGATAGTTGTGGTGGGTGACAATGATTGGGGTGGCGGCGACGGTGGTGGAGGCGGTGGTGGGTGGCGACAGCGGTGGCGGGTGGTAGTGGTGGCGACGACAGTGGCGATGGGAGTGGGGGGTAAAGGTAGTGGTGGGACAATTTCAAACACTATTTTTTTTTAAGTATTTATGATAAATAATCTCTAAAAGTATTTTTAAAAAATCATTTCAAACACACTTTTAGAAACCTATTTTTCCTATTAAATTTGGAGTATTAATATTAGCAATTAGATTAACTTTAAAGTAAATTTTAAAACGATGTCAATCGCGAATAACAAAAGTTATTTTGTTTATCTTTTAAGATTTGAATTGTAAGCTATTTTATTATATAAATATATTGGTTATTGTCTGCGCCAGAAGACACAAAATAATAAAAAATTATAAACAATAAAACATATTTGTATTCATATCCAAAATCAAATCACAAATATAGAGAAGAGATAAAAAAAATTTAAATATCAATTTATAGTGGATGTGAGAGGTAGTGGGCGATAGTGGTGGTGGTAGGAGACAGTGATGGTTTTGGTGGCGATAGCGATGGTGGCGGCAGCAATGGTGATAGTGGCGACGACAGTAATGGTGGTGGCGACGACGGTGACGGTGGCGGTGGTGGCGATGGTGGAGGTGGAGGCGGTGGTGGTGGCGGTGGTGGAGGCGGTGGTGACGATGGTGGGGGTGGTGGAGGCAATGACGATGGTGGCGGTGGTGGTGGCGACGGTGGTAGTAGTGGTGATAGACATGGTAGTGGGCGCGATTTCAAACACTATTTGTTTTTAAAGTATTTATAAAAAATAATTTTTAAAAGTACTTTTAAAAAATCACTCTAAACACACCCTTAGGGGTTTATTTATATTAAATTTAGGGTGTTAATATTAGCCGTTAGATTAATTTTAAAATAAAATTTAAAGCAATGTCAATTACGAATAATAAAAATCATTTTGTTTATCTTCTAAAATTTGAATTGTAAACTATTTTATTATATAAATATTAAACTAATCACGAAGCTTGGCTGTCCAGAAAAGCAGAGAATTGACACTGCAATCATTGTGGAACTCTGAATACCTGTGTTGGTTTGTGAAGTCTCCAATGGAATTCGTCAATGTAGTTCCATAGACCTTCAAATCAATTGTTTAGTTGAAGATGTAATCTAGTAGTATGTATTAACAAATTAAGATCAACAAAAATAGCATTAATCGAGAGCCAATTAAGGCTTATTCTGAGCAATAATGACAAAAAAATTTAGAAAGACCCATTGCAAAAAACTCTTAACAATCTAAGTAAGATGTATCTTTCAACTCGTTGTTTTTAAGTCAATAAACGACGTTTATAATACTTTTTTATTTTATTCCACTATTTGCGATATTTTCGTAATATTTTTTATTTGTTTTGTTTTTCTAATAATTTAGAACAATTAGGATTTCATATTTATATAGTCTTGAAAATTAATTTAACACCTTTGGTTTTGATATGAATAAAACCTTAGATACAATATCCCTTTTCTTCCTAATTGTCTTGGTATTTCTTAGATTGTTGAAAGCTTTAATCTGGTATTATTGCAATAATTAATAGGTTATAGTGTAATAACCCAGTATTCAGAGACTAGAAAATGAATCAGGATTTGAGGGTGTGTGCAGTTAGGGGTTCAAAAATTGGGAAGTCGGACTGTGAATTGATAACTCTAAAGTGGTGCGTGGATGTTTTGGAGTTGGTTAGGATGTTTGTTAGGTGTACAAAGGTGGCTGGTGAAGAAGAAATGGGTTAGGAAGCACAATTGAGCATAGTAAGGTTGCACATCGGTGAGTTAGAGGTGTGTGAGTGCGGATTCAAAGATAAAATTGGGGTGATTTAGAACCCTAAAATTAAATGGATAATTTTATTGGGTCATGTTTTAATGTATATTTGATTTAAAAAAGATACTTACAAATTAATTTTCTAATTTTGGAAAATTATCAAACTTCCCTTTCATAGTAGTCATGCCCAAGCTGCTGCTTGAAAGCCCCAGGGCTTCCCAGCCTTCTCCAAGCCTTTAGAATGTTTGAAAATGATCTTGAACCTTCACTTAGTGCCTGGAATGAACAGACAACCGGTTAGAGGAGAGAGAAAGAAGAAAAAAGTCTAAAGAGAGAAAACTTTCCCTTGAATTTTAGGTTTGCTTTGGATGCTTATTCGAACACTCAAAGGTATACCTCTAGCCTAATTTGGATGCTAGGAATTCATTAGTGTTGTTGGTTTTTGATTTGGGTAAGTGTTATACTCAAATTTGGGTTTTAAAGTTTTGAATTTTAAGTTTTCATGAAACGGGTTCATGTATTCTTTACACTTTTGTTTAAATAATTTAAATGGTTGTGTTCCTGAGAGTCAAAGGAATGATTTGGTGGTGGTTTGGTGGTTGGGCGTGGCTTATGGTGGTGTGGAGGTGGTGTTGAAGTTTCGATCATGGAGGTTTTCGATCTCCATAATTGAGATGTTTGGGCTTTGAATGAGGGGTTTCCCTAGCTAAAATAAACCATGAGAAGCTATTTATGACCTTAAAAATGGATTTAGAAGTTGCTAAGGGAGTTAAAATCCAAGTTGTAAGTTTGCGTTTTTTTCTGAAAAATAAATTTTTAACAAACTTTGAGTTTGAATTTGATTGGGGTTAAGTGAAATTTATGGTGATTTAAAGGTTGGGTTTGATAGAGGTCTATGTGGTGACTGTTTAGGGACTGAAAAGGAAGAAAATGGTGAAGTGTAATGAGAGAAATAAGGTAGAAAAATAAGGGGGGTTGGGTTGTTTTGCAAAAAACCCAAACTGGCTAGACATTGAAGATGAAGTTGACCGAAGAACGGCTGGACACCCCGATGGCATGTGAGGGCATGTCTAGTGTCGAATCAACCGTTGGTTCATGCCAAAAGATTCGTAACGTCCGTGCGAAGGTCTTGATAAAACTTCAAGTTGATCTGACGGCTAGATCAAAATAAAGAGTAAAATAAATATTTTGGCCTCTGGGGCCAATTTGACCCAATTTTTGGGTCATTTTTGCCAAAAAAAAAATGGTATTCATTTATAATTAGTTAAATGAATTATATGGGTTGAATTTCATCAAAAAATAACACTGTTTAATTTTTTGCTATTTTTATATCAGTATAGGGTTTCTTAATTCAAGATCAGATGGAGTATTTCTAAACTTGCTTTTAAATTATGTTTTACATTATTTACGAATACTTAGCATGCTTAAATTCATATGACTGAGTTTTTGAACTTTGACCGGAAATTACGAATCCAAATTAGGGTTTTGAGTGTAATAACGCACAGTTATTCAAAACGATGAGATACTGTAATTCTTTTAAACTAAATATAAGTGCACATGAGTCGAGTGGTAAAAGGGTTTACATTCAAATTTAATGTCATAGAGGGTACTCATTAAGTTTGTAAATACTTAGGTGGTCCAATTAGTCTTTGGACTTGGATATTAAATGTTGACTAGGGAGTTTATCTTCCTCGAGGTGCGAGTCCCCAAAAAGTTTGAACCGTATGTTTATATGAGCCCTCAGTGGTCTATTAGGAAAACATTGTACTGGAATTTCTGAACTCTTTTTTACAATCTTACATAACTATCCGGACTAGTTAAGTAGTTGTGTGACGCCCCTAAAATAGAGGTCTTTTTTCAACTGTTGATCATCCGTCAACCCACGAAAATACTCATGATTGTCGCACAACTAAGCAACATGTTAATAACATTACCTTAACTAGGATTATAACCCATATGTTTAACTCGTGTATGTTTTACTATTTGGCCTAACCGAGGTCCAATATACCTCAATTATAATTCATTTATATCCTTTGAGTGCAAGGACACTTATCCCAAAAGCCTAGCCAATCATTCTTAAAATTTCAGATTTTTGGGTAGGTTTTAACAGATCTACTGGCAGGTTTTGTCCTCAGGAAAAATTCTATCTGTAACCTACCTATAATCTACTGGTAGGTTTTACTTGCTGGATAAGTTCTACCTGTAACCTACTGATAGGTTTTACCTGCTAGACAAGTTCTACCTATAACTAATCTGTAATCTACCGGTAGGTTTTTACCGTTTTACTGGTAAGTTTTGCCTAGAATTATTTGTTTCACATGTTTTTCATTTTCAATTCATTCCAAACTTTCCGACAAACATCTCAAACATAAAATATAGTTCTTCACATAAGACGTGATACATACAAGTTCTATTACAAATAATTTTATATATTTACATGCCAAAATATATGTTTTTCTCAAAAGTTTTACAAAATTCAAGGTTAAAGGCCACAAGTCAGTCTCTCTTCATCCTCGAGGCCTCGGATGTAAGCCGTCCATCGGCATATCAGTTGTACTTGAAATTTTTTTTCGTAAAGGGTGAGCCACGCCCAGTAGAATATTTTTTTACAGAGGCTACTTCTCAAACCTATATGCATATGAAATGCGCACACATAACATTCAACATGAATTTTGGGTCACTCGAAACTCGACCGCCTCGTAAAACATGAAAAATCCGACTATCTCAAAATTCGATAAAATTTGACGAGGTAACTAGATTTCGCGAGACAAATCCAACGGTGAGGTTTGTTTCGTCATCTGAGTTCTAGAAAATTTTAGTTTTACAACTCGTACTGTAATGGCAAATTACCATTTTATCCTTAATTATTTTAATAAAATCAATTATACACAACTATATACTTTCATCTAATTTTTATTTTTTACTTCTATTTAACTTGTAACTCATTTTGGACTCTTTTATAAGGACTTCTAAATTATTTGGAATTCATTTATTAGTAGTACAGTTACATACAATTTTATATATCTATATGAAGAAGTAAAGTGGTATATACGTTAAATTATTGTAAACATGTAGCTACTAAATTGAATTTCACAATTAAATATATGTTAGATTTTTATTTTTTTGTATGAAATAAAATAATATCTGTATAATAAATCAAATAGGTGTTTGAACTTATAAGAGGTATATTTTTCCTCCCAAATTTCAAAAACCAACACACAGCTGCACATATAAACACACACTCCAACACACATTCTAATGCATGCACAGTGTAATAATTCATTGTATCGTGACTTTAGTTACGGGTATCGCCGATAGTATTATAAACGATCTAGTTAACAACATAAAAATTAATAATTCTATAATATAATTAGATATGCAATTGCTTAAAGAGGACAGAGAAATACCTAAATAAATGGCAAATTAAGTATTCAAAAAATTATATAGAATAAATTAATAATTAAATTTAATAATAATTAAAATACATATTAATTATTCAACACCTAATTTATTATTTAATTTAATAACATATATAATTCATGTTTTTTATAAAAATATATTATTTAAACTTGTTTACGTGCATTTCATGTTGTGCATTGCTAATATGTATCAAATGCTTATTTCACTTTTACCCAATCATGTTGAACTATACTATTTTCAAGTTCATTTGCTTAAAAATTGAGTTACTCTACTAAGTAGTTGATGTTTACCCTACATTATTTCCCCTCTTCAGATGTGAAAATATGGGGAGATCTGTACATAATAACCTGTTAGGATTTTTGTATGACATAGGAAGATGCATCTAAAACATGTAATAGAATAAAAGAAAACCTACTATATAAAGTGTATTTAACCGGATAGTAGTTCGTAATAGGTTGAGATGTGTATATAAGTTATGCATATGTTTATACAGAAATCTGTGGCATATACATTATGAGTTATTCTGCTATGTTACGCTACGACTCTATTATTATATTAAAATGTTTTGTGGATTAAAATAACATCTGTCACATGTCTAGCATATCTGAGATGTGATATATAGCTTCTATTGTTTAATCTTATTTCTTTGAGATGTGATATATAGCTTCTATTGTTTAATCTTATTTCTTTATTCACATTACTCTGCATCAACATATAAGGCCCAAAATTTGGATCTCTCTTATCCAAGGCCTGAAAACTATGACATGTTAAAGCCCACATATATAGGCTTTAGCAAACCCATGGGTTGGGTTTCAAAGATGGGTTGTTTGGATTTGTACGTAAAAAGAAATTACGGTCCAAAAAATAGATATACATTGGATTGAATAACAGTTAAAAAGGCACTACAATCCCAAAAATTATGGATATGGTAGCTGACAACAGTTTGTGGTATTTGGTTTGTGTGCTTGCTTGGGTAAGTTCCCATGCCATTGTAGGGTGGGGCGTGGTGAGCAATCTTTAGTATAATAGAAAGCTCTCCATCCTTCAACTGCCTTAACTCTGCTAATGGGAAACTGCTGGAGCTACGGGTTTTGTAGGGAAGCTTGTCTCATTTGTTTCTTTGGTATAGTGTGAAACCCCAGAAGCAAATTTTCATCTTTGATCCATATGATTTATATTTACCAATCAAAAAATAAATAATAAATAATACGAAACACCAGAACAAAAAAACTATATGGTATTAGAAATGTGATTTTTTGACACAAAATATCAACCAAACTGAATTCATTACAAAGTCAACATTTATGGATCTACACTTAATAGATTCTTATTCCGAACAAGTTGACTTGTGACTTGTAAAACCAATTTAATAAACAACATCGACTTGACACAAACATAAATGGACCGAATATGAATTAGGCAAATTCTATTGTGGCATAACTCGCAACTTCTCAAACGTGACACAACCTATTGATTATCCCAAGGATCATGTCCATCTTCTTTGTACAAGAGATTAACAAAAGTATAGCAATCATATAACTAGATTCAACACACCACATCAATCATCATGAGAGTTTGACACTGTCTTACAAATGAGCTGGTAAAAAAACATACACACACACACACACAAATAAAGGTTACAAATACAAAACAATCTATAACTAGGCAGGTGATAGAAGGCCTAGGGTTTTGGTCTTTACTAATGTATTACACTTTTCATTTCTTCCACAAAATGTATCATACTATATGCTTGCCTGCCTTACGATCACATAACAGCACATGCAGTGGTGTTTTCATCACTGAAGGCAGTGGTGTACCGAACTTCAGTGGAACTTGCACGTCCCAGCTGAGAAGCACGTGGGTCCTCTGAGTATCGGACATACCCAGCTGGCGCCTTCCTATCGTAAACCCCAGCTGCGTAGGGATGTGCTACGAGGTCGTATGGAACATAAGGCCACAGCTCCACCTTCTTGCCCGTTCGATGAGTCACGCGGGACACCACCTTTTGGGGTTCCACATATCCAACGACTGTGACTTTGTGTTGCCTGGGCTCTATGACCACTGAACTCACACCCTTCATTCCTTCCAGGGCCCTTCTCACCCTTCTTTCGCATCCTTCGCAGTCTATCTTCACCTTTAGTTCCACCGTCTGATCAATCGATACCAGTAAATTAGTCAATTCTGTAGAATGGTGAATGGGCGGGCCCAGGAGTCATAGCATACAAGTGTATATGGTGCGCCAACAAAAATCTATGGTGTGAAACAATTTGAGAATAGCATAAAGTCATGGATTTGCCAACAAAAATTTATCAAAAAATTGCAAAGTAAATTACACATATATCTTATAAACTGTGACTTTTGTGTCAATTAAGCTCTTAAACTTTTTTTTTTATCAATTGAATTCCTAATCTCTCTAATTGTGTCAAATTATTTTTAAGATTTTATATAAGTTTATTGAGATATATAAATATCAACATTATTTAAATATATATATTATTACAAAATAATTTGTTTGTGTTTAATAAATTTTTATATAGCAAGTAAGATATAATAGATACAATAATAGGGAAACAATGCGCCTCTTCCGCGAGAAGTGGAAAACAACATATTTTTTGGCCTTTAGTTGGCGAAGGACTGAAATCTCAAACAACGCTGTGCAAGAGAATGGGAGGAATGAGTCGTGGACCTAAACAAAAAAAAAAGGTACCGTTCATTAAACTGTACATTGTGAGCTCTTAGCCTCGAACAAAAGAGGAGTTGCATCTGTCAATTAAACCGCTTCATTTAATAGATTTTTCAACGAAAAGCGACAAAGTGTACCGTGACATAAATGATTAAAATAAATTATACATATAATCTTTAAAACTATAACTTTTATGTCAATTTAACTCCTTAACTTTTTTTTATGTCAATTGAATTCTTGAGCTCTCAAAATAAGATTTACTCTTTTTTATTTGATAAAATTATTTTTAAAATTATATAATCAAATAAGTATTACGATATTAAAATAATTTTTTTAAAATTCTTCTAAAAAATAATTTTAAAATACAAACTAATTAATAAATTTTTTATATAGACAAGCGGACTAATCGTTCACTCGTAGCCCTACAAAAAAGAAGGTGGGCAACCAGCAGACAAATCAATTCATTCGTGGCCACACAATAATGCCAGGTGTAACACCCTATTGGAGCTGTGAAGTCAGTGGGGTTCACGGCAAATGCTCCGACGACCGGCCACACCGGATTTTTGTATTCCGGCCAGTTTGTAGCTCACGACTCTCTCAAGTTTAGACTCAAAGACGACGACCGAAAAACCAATCTACCCATATCATACTGTCAGTCAGAATCTACCATAAAACCAATCTTGCTAGTAGCTAGCCGAGAACTCAAAGGTCCTTTCTCTTGGTTTTTTTTCCCCTGTTAACGAGGAATTTCACCGATTCAGTTCGATCCATTCCTCGAATATCCTTAATCTCTCGCTAATCATAAATATTACTTTAATTTAAAAGAAACGAATAGTTAAACGTAGAACATTCGACTTTACAGCCAATCTTACTCCATTAGACTCACCCATTCAGGTTAAAGTATGGAGCTACGTTTCTATCAGTGTTAGAATGGCATCAACAAACAAGTGAAGCAGCATAAATCAATCGTAAGAATGAACACCATAGCAATAGTCGTAAGAAGCGAAGTTTCTGGAGTACCTACCTGGAATTGCTTGCGATTTCTGTGCTTGAAATCGCCACTAGTGCAATCAAACATATCAGACAGATGATCCAGAACACCCATTTTTTCTTCGTCTTCTTCTTCTTCTTCTCAGTACCTAACTCTAATAACAAAAGGAAGATATATAATGCAAGGGAGATAGTTGCTCTATTCTATCTCACAATGATTATCTCACAAGAGACTCTCTCTCTCTCTCTTCGACTCAACGATTGACAGTGGTTGACCCTTCACGTCTGTGCAGAAATCGTCCCCTAAAAAGCTCGCTCCCTCCCCCTCTCTCTGTCTCTCTCTCTCTCTCTCGCGTTATCAGATCTCAGTCGCTTGATATCATCTTTTATTTGGCTTCTTCCTGTCACACGTGTCCTCTCCGGAGTGGATGATGTACATTTTCGGCGCCGACAAAAGGGACCCTCGTAAATTTGGTTGTGATTATTTGACATGAAATTTCCTTCTGGTGGGGTGATGGTGGGACCACAACACCTTGATAAAGGGTCCCACAAGAATGATACACCAAAATGGGTAGGGCTCAGCCTGGGCGCAGGCCCAAGTTAAGTTGGTGGGCCGTTGATGAAACACATATTTCGATTTATTTTGGAATCACATGAGGTTGGCGTCACAAGATTCATCTTCTTGGCCAAAGCTGACTAGATTTCATCACTAGTTCACTCCCAAGACTGGTCCAGATTGAATAGTCATTGGCCCAATTAAGAAGGGCTCCACTGTAGGCCTTCTTTTGTGAATTATGTTCAATGGAGCCCAAAAGCATTATTAAAAGGTTTTTTGGAATGAAAGAAGAAGATGCACTTCAAAATTCAAATGCACTATCTTATTACAATAGGAAATTGTTGATATAATAAAATTAAATTTCACAATTAACTGCCTAAAAAACACTGTCCATGAATTATGAGAAAGCGTATTTAGGTAAAGGAATTTTTTAAAAAGCAATCAATATGTATCTCTTCATAAAACATTTATAAAAAATAGGACTTTACACACAATAGATTTTCGGCATGGTATTTTATCACAAATAAGTAGTGTATAGTGTAGTTTTTCACAATTTTTCAATATTAAAAAGGTAATAAAAGAGTTGAGATCGACACTATTCGAAACAATACGACACAAATAGTATTAAACAACTTGGATTGACATCTTTTAACTAGACACTTGTCATGTTGAAAATGTAGGGTAAATATGTTTTTTTTTGCTTTTATTACGGTAGGTAAAGATGGAAAAAATAATCAAATCCCTCTTAAATGAATTTTTCTTTCCTTTACTCTGTCTTTTCCTGTTACCTAAAACTTATTCTCCCTCGCTAGTTGGCAGAAACCAAAAGAGCTTTAGAACTATGCTCATCCAACAAATAATTGAACGAAAATGTGATTGTTTATTTTAATTAAGAGTAATGTTATTAGGATATAAAAAAAAAAAAGATGTTAACAGTTTAATTTGTTATAGATTGGTTCCGTGCTAGAACCGGCAATAGGGGGACAATAATGACTAATCTTCAACGTACCAATCTTGCGTGTTCTATTGTTTTGGACCCAAGTTGTCCAATTTTCCAACACCAATTCAATGCTCTGTCTCTCATGGGGAAAAGAAGGAAAAAACAACAAAAGAAAAAGATCTCGACCTCTCTCTCTCTCATATAATGGAGAAAGATCAAAAGTCTGGCGTTGGGTATTCAATTATTTTCATTGAGGTTGCAACTGAGCTTCTTGGAAAGTAGGACACAGTCAAATTTGGATAAAGAAAGCAGAAAATGGTACACTTCTGCACAAAAGTTAATCACTCTCAATTAATATATTTGGAACGTTAAAATGTTCAGAAACTAATTCAAATTTTTTAGTCAAAGTTGCACGAAGTGTACCCCACCCCCAAAGCATTTCTTTTCTTCTTTCAAAACGCGCTCGAAAAAAAAAAACAAAAGGAGAGTTACATTTACACCCCTTGAAGTTTATCTTTGATCATTCAAACTCCTCTGATATTTAAAATATTATATATAGACTCCTTAAAATTTATATATACGTAACACTTAGACTTTTATCGTAAATATATCTATTAATAAATTATATTTAGACCCCTTTAAATTTGTAAACATATATTATTAAAGCCTTTTAAGTTTAAAATATTATACTTAGATCAAAAATATTTCAATCAAACATAAAATATCAAATATTTTAAATTTTACAATTAAAATTCATGTTCTGTTGTATCGTTTATTGAAAAAAATTAAAATTTTAATTTTTTCTTAAAAATTTGTAATTAGTATATAATTATATTGTCTATTGGAATTTAATTTGACGACCAAATTAAAATACCAAACTACCACAATTAAAGTTAAAAAATATTGTGTCAATTATAATTTAATCCCTTATTTAATTTTTTAGTCTTATTCTAATAGACAGTATAATTATGTATTAACTATGATTTTTTTCAATAAATGACATAATAGATTATGAATTTTGGGTGTAAAATTCATGTTCTATTATAAATGACTTACACCCCTTATTTGATATTTTAATTTTATTCTAATAGATAGTATAAATGTATACTAATTATAATTTTTTAAGAAAAAATTATTTTTAATTTTTAATTTTATTTTAATAAATTATATAAATGATATATATATATATAACAGGAATATAAGTGTTACGTGTGTATAAATTTTGAGGGTCTGTATATAATATATTTTAAATATCAAACAATTTAAGTGATTAAATGACAAATTTTAAATATTTTAGATGTAATCTCAAAAAAACAAAAAAAAAAAAGAAAGAAAGAAGGAGTACAACGAAAGAAAAGAAAAGGACCCACCAAAACAAATCATTGTGCACCTTCAAAGACGCTTCGATCTTGACATGACAGAAGTGTGTCGGTCACTCGGTCTTCAATGTCTAGAGCACATGAATATGAAATCACCCGACGTGGCCACCTTAACCAACTCTCCCCTTAATGAGAGGAGCAAATGTAGGAGCATCTTCAACTCATTATTCAGAGATTAGACGTTCTGAATTTTTAAAAACGAACGGGACCCTAACACATAATCTAAGGGTTAGCTGTTGTAAATATCCTCGCTCTTTTAAGAGTAGCTCTGTATATTTATGTTGAGTTTAATCTCCTCCAAAATTTAATTCAATTCTATGTCATGAAGAATTGTGAGACGCATGTTTGTCCGACATACTCTGTCGCCTTTGTAGAATAAGTTGTTTAATCGCCTATAGCCATCTGTCATTTGTAGTCAGGTCGTCTTCTCTCAAACACCTTTCGACGTGTCTTTGCTCCTTATTTGTATATCTATATATGAAATTCATTGCTATTATATTTTTCAAGACCAAATTTTCTGCTAAAATATCCTATTAGTAAGATTTATTGGGTTACAGTATACATGGTTTAAAGTTATGATACAATGATATCGGCTAATAAACACAAATTGTTATATAGATGAAGTATGTAAATATGACGAGAAATTCAAATAAATTATATTGTGCCGTCACACAATAGTAATATGAACAAATCCGATGATTATGACTCGGACAACTTTGAATTAACTCAAAATATCTCGTCCTACTTGATTGATATTTGTTGAGAGTACTTGTATTTACACTGGACAGTATCAAAATGGAAGATGGCATGCCAAATATGTGACAATACGTACTGTTATTATTAATATTAGTTGAGACTTTCGAATATATATGTATGCAATATATATTCTAATGCGAGGTCTCCCTAGTGAGTAGACACATCAAGAAGAGTGTTCTAGGTGGCAAACAAGTCCCTTGCCCCTTTCCCAATAGCAGGTGGCCAGTCCAACCCCCGTCAGGTTGGATTTACCTAAGTCCGTTTGCGTAATACTAACGTTATTTTATTGTAATTTGATGATTATGAGTTCGAATTTCGATTATAGTCCTTCTACTTGCAAGGATAAGACTGTATAAATGCATCTAACTCTCTCTAGATAGTAATAGTTTCGTACATTGAGTACACCTTTTAAGTTCAACCCCAATGATCTTATCTGACATTATTGAACATAATGAGAGAGGTAGTGAGAGAGAGATTATTTTAGTTCAAACCTTAAATTACTTGTTTTGCAACTTTTTTTACAGTGAGATGTAGATTTCCAAACTGCCAAAAGCATATTAAATCAAAATCAGTTGTGGTAAACAACAAAACCTACACCTTCTGCCTAGTAAGTCATTCCAGATGCATCGAGACAAAAGAAAGCAACTCATCATGTTTCAGTGACAACAACCACTTAACCTTTTCTTTTGCATTCACTACACTCACAAAATGTACAAAAAAACACAGGTAAGTGAGGTAAGCTTTTGATGGGAAGAGAGAACCAGAACGGGTCAGTTCATGTCACTTTCCCCAAAGGTTAAAACACAAAGAGAAGTAGTTGGGAAGTTGCACTTCTTCTTCACACACGAGAAATAAACAAAGAGAAATAGGGGCTCCTTGGGTTTATCTACCACCCCAATATGATGATGGGTAAATTACATTCCATACCCTTAAGTTTGCACCTTATCTCTGTTTAGCCCATGAATTTCCAATTTCTAAGTTTTACAGGCGCCAATTAAGCTAAATGTCCAAATAAATAAGTAACGAGCTCGACAAGCTCGATTTGAACTCAACAAGCATAACTCATTTATGTGTAAATAGTCAAACTTGACTCGAATAATTTTTTTAAGTCGTTTAAAAAAAGAGCTTGACTCGAGTTCGTCTGAACTCGTTCGATTATCAATCCTAACTATAACATTAGCGTCAACTTAGTAAAAATTATCTCCGAAATTAAAAAACATGATGGTTAGGTGATGCTTTCTTTGATGAATTTTTTGTTGAAGGTGTCACATGAAAAGTAAGGGTAAAGTTGAAGAATATATAATGTAATTTGTCATATGGTCAATGTGGGGATGGACATTGAAACATATGAATATGACCTGGTTTTGGTGGTTTTCACATGGGTTTGCACCATTTGGTCCAGAAGAGGCGGCCAACCATGGCAGGACTCATGGGACCTTAGTAGGTGGCCAGCGCATGGGCCACCATATGTGCTGTGGTTCTTCTCAGACTTTCAAAGGAAAAAAAGCTCTTTACGTGTTTTAAAAAAAGGCAACACCTTTCAATACGTCCCATGCACAGTCTATTATTTTTCACATCATATCGAGTATCAAAAGACTTTGGGAAGTGTAACGAGCATTTTCCTCCGCCTTTGTGGACCATCGCATCTTCATGACATATATATATTGACTATTATTTTGGGGTTTCCTTCCTTAGGATCGATAGTCGGATCGAACAATTCAAATTTCGTTTGTATAAGGTTCGATTTTAAACGAGTCAAATTTGAATAATTTTTTAGATTCATTTAAAAATAAATTTAAAAGGATCCGACTAGAACTTGCCAAACTCGACTCATTTATATGTACAATAGTCAAATTACTCAGACTTGACTCGAGTTTGACCTATTTTTTAAACGAGTTAAACTTGAATAATTTTTTAGACTATTTTTAAAAAAACGAACACAACAAGGTCTGTTCGAGTTTACAAAATTTGGTTTAAATATCAATCCTATTCTTCAAGATACACAAAATTAATTATTATTATTTATTATACACGTAATAATAATGCCGTAATGTAAACATTTTATACTCGTGTTAGCTGGCCATCGACCCCCATAAAGTGTCAAAAAAAAGAAGATTCAGGACTCAAAAGTATGTAACCAAGGAACGGAACAAAGAAAGAATACGAACAATGAAAGAGACTCGTAAGTACTAAGAATCATGATGACAAGACCACACACACACATATATATATACACATCAATTCCTTTTTTTTTTATAATTTTATAATTTTGCCTTTCACCATAAAGCATATCTTATGCTTCCCACTAAACACGCTGCATACCTCCTTTTCAAATAGCTTTGCCTAAGAAATTTGCATAAGAAAAGGAGATTTACATCTTCTCCACTAATTATACAATCAATGATATTCTTTTTATTTAATTTATTGATATAATTTATTAACAAATGATAAGATTAACTATTAATCCAATAGTTATAAATATTTAAATTAATAAATTATATCAATAAATTAAATTTAAGTGATATTACAAATGCAAATAAATTATTTATGATCAAGAACTATATTAAGTGTGTCTTATGTAGAATCATGGCAATTACCTAAACTTAAAAAATGTGCAATCAAAAAATCTTGGTTTATTGTTTTCTTAATAAGGAGTAATTGACTAAGATTTTTTTTTTTTTTTTTTCAGTTCAACGGCGAGATGTCTCTGAATTAACTTATGCGCACATCGACTAATTCCCTCTTTGATTCGATCAAAGACAAGTAATTCACGCCTTGTCCTAAAAAGTTATAAGAAATTATTTCATAAACAAAGCTACCTTTTTTTCCTTTCATGACCAAGTACATAAAATGCATGTACCACGGGCTCGTTTATTAGTTCAGAGCGGTATATCATTGATTACATTAGATAAGAACAATTATTGGGAAAAAGATTGAGACGGGTGAGGTAAGGATTACCCTTAATGACAAGGCGTGATATTTATACTAATATCTTAGGAAAAAATGAATAAGTCCAAGACAGTCTCTTTCTCTTAAGCATATCAAAAGGTGAACCCTAGAAAAATGGTAACAATATAGACTACTTTCTGGATGTATAATTGAGCTTTGCCCCCATTATCTATGATTGCCATAGAACATTGAAAGGCTCTCTACGACTTGAAAACTAGTAGTCATTCACACGTTTTAATTTCATAATGAGCAATTGGATGAGCAGAACCCACTATTCATTTTAAGGTAAGATTTCTACATATATTAAGTGGGGTTGAATAGGTCCCTATAATAATTCTAGCTTAGTAGAGAGTTTTTGTTTCTCAAGTGTGACGGGAATTCAAATCTAAAGTGATATTTTAATAGACCATCCAAAACTATTTGATTTAGGCCCGAAAACGCGGCACTTGCTCTTGTGGAATTTGGGGAGAGGAGACGATAGACGATAGTATATTCTAGCAAATTTTATTTTTTTTAGTGTTTTTCTTTAATTGTTTTTTTTTTAGGGGGAAGAACCCATATGTTATTGTTATTAATTCTTTCATTCCTATTCGCTATTGATAAAAATCATAATAGCCTCCATACTTTTCTTATTGGTATGAATGACTTATTGGCTTTCATACAAGTCAGTGGCCAGAGGGAATCAGCATGGCCACAGCTCACTTTGGTCAAATCACTATTACTCATTAGCTAGTCTAGCACAAAAAATATTGGGTGGAACCGTTGCACAAGGTCAACAGTATTATCTAGTCTCGTTTCTTAATAAATAAACAAGTCCGTAAATAGGCTTTCCTAAAATTGATTACTACCCATTTATGTAATATATATATATATATATATATATATATCATCTCTTTTAGGAAATAAGTCATATATTATTTATTTTCTTATTCAATAGTTACACCCAATATTTACTCGCAAAGCACGAGTAAATATTCATTGCCATGTCGTAAAGATAGTATGATATCACTAGTCAATAATATCAAAATAAATAAGTAAATAAACTTGAAAAAATGATAATTAACTCTCTATGTAAACGAATAACTACTCGTCAATAACTATTCAAGTGAGGTTTATTTTATCCACTTAGTGTTTTATTATTAGTTTGTAATACAATTTTAATATTGTTAACATGATATCACCGTTGCATTCAATATTTACTCGCAAAGCACACGTGTAAAACAATTAAAAAAAAAGAGATATACAATAAGCAAAAGAATTTGACTTGTTTATTTATAGAAGTCAAAATAAAAAATAAGTCTAATTGTAAATGTGTTAAAACTACAACGCGTTTTTTAGAAGATTTTCTCTGATGTGATTGCGTGAAAGTTGGTTTTACCACCACCTAAAAATCATCTTCCATGACTATCTTTAAGGGTTAAGCATAGTTGTCAATTACATAAACAATTGTACTTCTTAACTAATTTTTCATCTGTTCCTAAAATTCTCCTCCTATGACTATCTTCAAAGCTTTGCATTTGAGTATTTCGTGGAAAATTATCTTTAACCAGTTTTTATATGTTCCTAAAAACCTTCTTCTATGACTATCTTCAAAGGCTAGAATATGGAAATTCCATAAAAAAAAAAAAAAAAAAACTAATATTATAAACCAATTTTAGATTAATACAACGATTACAGAGTGTTATTTCACATGGGCCACGAAATTATTTGCAAAAAAATGGGGGCATTTTTGGCAATGATTCTGTAAGTGTCCCACTATTTTTGACAATTTGATAATGACAATGATTCTAAAACCAGGGCACCCAGTATTCTTCCTTAATGATGAGGTTATGGATCATAATTTTGCCTTTTTCTGAATGGAGTAGGAAGGGGCTTAAAAGTAAGTCTATCCTTCGTATCGAATTTCGGTGGGTTCATCTCGGGATTTAGTAGATCTGTCATAAAATATTTTATATATATATTCAATTTGTTTGTAAATTTATGTCTAATAAATTCCATTATATTGAGTTTATATCATGTATGAATCACTTATAATTGATATATAAACGATTTTTATCGTATATTTTTTTAATTAGTTTTAATTATATTCGATTTATTTATTAAATGTGTCATGTTGTATCATGTTGTGTCAACTCGTTTATGAAATAGGTGACTTAAGGAAAGTCTAAACTCTCTGATTTTATATCGTATTAACGAATCGTGTCATATTTTTGTCATCCTATTTAAAAATAGTAAAAATGCATTGAAAAGTAAAAAATAAATAATAAAAATATTTTAATTGACATAGAAATAGGAATCCTATTCTTCAGCCTTTTCAAATGACCAAACTCAATAATCTGTGTGTCTAATCTCTTACTCATTTCTCTTTCTCTCTCTCCAAAAATGAAAAAAAAACTGACTCGTTCTCTCTCCCCAAATATATACAAAAGAAACTCTCTTTCACACAAACACACACACTCTTACACTATTCCAGCCTCAAAATTCACACCACACCCACTTGGAATTAATTTTCTCGTTCAACAATGCCTCTGAAATCTCTGACCCGATAGTTTAGTCACAAAATCTGCATGTGTACGTCGTTTGCTGACCCCCCCTCCAAGTCCATACTTCTCTCTTTATTATTGCATCACCACGGGGGAAAAGAGAGAATCCTAGGCCCCAGCTCTCTCTCTCTCTCTCTCTCTCTACCGGTTCAGTTTTTCGGTTACTTTAATTCAATAGAATTATCTATATATAATCGCTTCACCACTCATATACATATATATATATATATATATATATATATATATGTAGGTACAACCCACCATCTCTCTTTCTATATCTTCTTTGAATCACAACCTAGTCGCCAACCCTATACCAAGACTATCATCATTCATCATAAAGTATAAGTTTTTTCACATACAGCGAGCTAGCTATTCCTATTCTCATTTGAAAACGAATCAAGTTCTTGTATTGATTGGCGCCATATAAAAGGGCGAGAAAGATCCGAGAAAAAGGGCTTGTTTTGGTTTTACTGGGATATTTATAAGCAAGCATGGCTATTCAAGCGCAGTTGCATACAGAGAATCTGGGTTTTCCTTTAGGTGGTTCACAAGATTGGATGGACAATTGTTGTGGGTTCAATGAACTTTATTTCAATCCTCATCAACAACAGCAGAAACAACAACAGATGCAACATCTACCCTTACAAAAACTACAGCCCAGAAATCCTAATTTATATTTCGACACTAGTTTGCTTCCCAAAAGCAACAACAACGGCCCATTGATGTTTTCTCAAAGTATAGCATCTCAGATTGAGAATCAGAGGCAAGAAATTGATAGGTTGATTAGTCTACAGGTGAGTGAAACACTTTTAGCTAAATGGGTTTTTTTTTTTGCTTTTTCTGTTCTAAGTTATTTATATTTTTTATTTTCATGGTTTTGTGAAACAGAATGAAAGATTGAGATTGGCTTTTGAAGAGCACAGAAATCAGCAAATCTCAATGATTCTGAAGAAATACGAATCAAAAACACAGTTTTTACTTAGACAAAAAGACGAACAAATAGTAAAAGCCATGAACAGAACAATAGAGCTGGAGGACTTGTTGCAAAGAATGGAGATTGAGAACCAAACATGGCAGAGAGTGGCTAAAGAAAACGAAACAATGATCATATCTCTAAACAACACAATCGAACAACTCAGAGAAAATGCTTGTCTCTCAACCAATAATATTGAAGATGCAGAGTCTTGCTGCGATATGATCGAGAACAACAGAGGAGACACAACAGAGAACGAAAGGGGTGAGGGTGAGGACAACACAGAACATCAACATCAACAAAACAATGCAGCAGAGCAGAGAACGAGAAAGATGATTTGCAAAAGATGCAATTCTCGTAGTTCGTGCATTATTTTCCTACCTTGTAGGCACCTTTGTTCATGCAAAGGTTGTGAAGCTTTTCTCTATTCTTGTCCTGTATGTGAAATTGTAAAGAAAGCAACTATAGAGGCCTTGATCTGATTTTCCAGGAAAATTGATATTTTTCTCCTGGAAAATAGAGAGAGACGATTGTTGGATTTGGTCAGTAGGGGGAGGATGAGCATGAACAGAACCCATTTTGATTTTTACAGTATATGAGTAGTTTTTTGTTTTTATTTATATTTTTTTCTACTTTAGAATTTCATGTTTTTAGATTTGATTTGTAAGTATAAACAACTGTCAATCTACTGAACAGAGTTACAGGACCGAAGCATCTTTTCCTTTCTAGGTTTTATTTCTTTTCCTTTTCTTGGATTTAACATAAACTGTGGCAGCAGATTGATATGAATTTACAGCGACAGAAACCTTGGTTAACAACTCAGGTGATTCATGCGATAACAGGGACAAGAATTCGAGCGTCATCAATTTGAATCTTAGTAACGTCAAGTTATAAGAGATTTATCTTTCATGAATATTCTTATCTTGAATAATTTCATTCGATGAAAAAATTAGTCTAGGTGCACCTAAATTGGCTCCAGATACACTCACTATTAAAGTAAAAAAAAAAAACCACCACCTTGGTTAGCAATGTCAGCATGACCTGTTTGGGTCTCACATAAACAAGAAGTAAATACTTTGTAAGGTGTTTATTGAATAATCAAAGTCAGGACTTCATTTTTGGATACAAAATTGGGGCATAGAAAATGGGAAGGGATTTGTCTACGACCTCTCTTACTTTTACATTTTCATTGTGTTTAAATTTGTTCATATTAATGAATCCGATCCCATTTATAAGTTGGATTTGTGTCAGTTGAATTGTGTGTATCAATTCATTTACAGAATTAGTTAGAATAATCAATTTGTTTACGATTCAAATACGATGAGGTTGAGATTGAGATTGTGTTTATGGTTGCTAATTTAGTATTGGAATTGACGAATCTAGTTAAAAATATAAACAATAATTGCTTGTACGTTTGGCCTTTGTAGTTTATGTGTATAAATGTTTGTTTGTTGCACGTTTGAAACTTCATTAGGTCTAGAAGTAACTAGTATTGGAAGCTTGTATTTGGATTATAGCTGGTTTGATGATTGGCTTCTTGGTTCATGTCAAATCACTATGAATGGATAGTTCAAGTGATAACAAATATGAAATGTAAATTTAAACGTGTTAAATTTAAATTTTGATAATTTTTTGAAGCTAAGCCCGATGTGGATGACATGTTGTTTACTAGAGTAATGCTTTGATTAAATTAGAAAAAAAATTAGTTGAAGTGCGCATAAGCTAACCCGAACAATCCTAAATATCGAAACCAAAAAAAAATTATGGATGCTTGTGGAATTTGATCATTTTCATTATTTTTTTAAAACAAAATTCTTAAATACTGAGAGTCACACTTATATATATTAAATTTTATTTGAATTTATGACAAATAATTTATTTAAAAAAATATTAGAGAATATCTCATTCTGTTATACTTCTATCTTCTGCCCAAGGTAGGCTGTGTCGTGGCTATGTAGTATTGTGTATATCATGTTTTTCAATTGTAATCTTTATTTAATGTTTTTTCTTCACATCAGGGTTAGATTTTTTGATAAGCCCTCCACGGGGGAAAAAGAAAGTCAAGGTTAAAAATAAATAAATAAATAAGATAACGTCGGTAAAAAAGGGTAATGATGATGAGGTGGCAGTCCTATTAATAAAATTTCCAGCGTCGGTAAGTGAAAATTTTAAAAATAGGAGGACGATTGTGTAAGTTCTCCATTTTCACTGGAATGTGAAAGTGAAAGGGGTTGAACTTGAAAGCGTAAACGTTTGGGATGAAGAGCTTTGATCGTCATGTCATCCTCCTTAAATTCATGCTTTGTGTAGTGGGTTCTTTATTCTGACCCAAAGAGGCCCATTTACGTCTGTCTCCCATCTAAATGACGTTGGACCCACAGTGTAACGCTTTGACTAAATAAAGAGAGAAATGATATAGGACGGACTTAATTTTGTGTAATCATTATATTATATTTTTAATATATTGGATAAAACTTATTTTTAATTTAATGGTTATATTAAATTAAGTTTTTAATTTAAGTTCAAAATTTTTTTTCTTTTTTAAAAAGGCGAGATTCTCGGATTAGTTGTTCATATGTTTTGCATTTAAATGAGCTCTAACTCGTTAATAGTAAATGATATAGCAAAAAGAAAATTCAAGAAAAAATGCATTGAAGGGAATTTGAAATAAAAATCTTTGAACTTGTTTTTGCTTATGGACTTAGAGTTTAGAGGAGCACGAGATTCTAATCAAGATTTTCTCCAATATATAGTTTCTCATTTTATTTCTTGGTAAATTATTTATTATGTATTAATGAGACTCAATTTGTATAAAATTGACCCACTTGAATTCATAATAAATGATTTCCCACAAAAATGAAAAGAGGTATATTGAAGTGGATCTGCCTCTTTTATACTGTTTATTTTCTAGCCATGCCATCACTATTAATTCCTCGTGTGGCTAATTGAAGCAAAATAAAAATTTTAAAATTTTTTAGGTGTAAAATGTAATTCACCCAGAAATATATTCAAATAATTTTGTATGAATAATATATGTGCTTTTTAATAGGTTTTGCAGATTATGACCATATTTCGTGTGGTGAGTTTAATTGAGATATGATGGATCTTAATCATAAATTTTTAATTTACGAGTCACATGAGTCAATTCAAAATAAGGCACAGTGATAAACATGTCACGTATGTTAAAATTTAATTAAATAAATAAAATTAAAATTAATTAATATTCGAAACAAACCAACACAAGTCAAATGTGGAGTGTCCTCATCCACAACAAGGGTTTGGTTGTTGGATTTCTGTTTCCGTAAGCCTCCGGGTACATCAACCGGAAAGCTAGAGAATACACTAAGCTTGCACGTCAAAGATTGATTTAGGTATAGTTCAATGATTAAGTCTATCATCTAATAACTCAAATGTCTTAGGTTTAACATTTCTCATACTCTTTCAGAGCCAACCACCCTTGTTCTTTAATGAACATATTCTAAATCTAAATCTACTCGGACTACGATGATCAATATCCGAGCTCAATTGAAAAGACAGCACAAGACTGATCACCCAGTAGTAAAAACAGAAAAGAAAGTTACTTCTGTATAGTAAGTCATACCAAGCCTTGAAGCAGAAGACAAATGAACAAACAGGACAAATAATTAAGAATGCAAAATCTATTGGTAGTACAACGATATAAAGATGATCATTTGCTGCTAAAGCGTACGTAGACTAACCGCACTCAATATCTTCCCCTAAACATTAAGGGGAAACTTATGAAATGCCAAACTTGGATCAATACAGGCTAAACCCGAAAAATTGACTAATGAGAATGGCAAATCCTAGAGCAATTGCTACAAGGGAGGAAGCCCAAGTAAGCTTCTCTGTTATTCTGGGGACCCTCTCTTTCAGTGCCTGACTACATGAGCCTATAAATACAGTATAACTCCCCATTGCAATTACCGTCCCAACCAAAAACATACATAGAAATGCAGCACCAGCCAAGCGAGATGGCAAAGCAAGTGCAGGCAAGACCATCATCAGTGCATCCGGTTGCAGCCCATGGACAATCCCTGTCGCAAAAGTTGCAAACCCAATCTTCTTCTTCCCAATTGTTGGGTTCTCCAAGGCTTCATAGACACTAATGTCACACTCGCCATTTTCGAGTGCAACACATGGTGCAGGGATTTCTGAAGCTTCCCTGATTCCCATAGCACCAATAACTAATAGTGTAAAGCCCACGACTCTTGTGCCCCAGGTTCGGATGACTTCAATGTGGAGCTGATCCTTCAGAAGTAGAAACAATAAGCCGAAAATAACCTGTCCTGCATCGTGGCCACAACCCCAAAGGGCTCCAACTGCAGCACTTTCCAAGCGAGTGCGACCAATCGAAAGTGGAGCCAGGGCAGCAAGGTGATCGGGTCCTGACAATGTGTGTAAGCAACCGGCAAAAAAACCAGTCCAAGCACTACTTAGTAATTCGGAACGGAGGAGTCTACCACCAGCCACTGCTGCAATAGTACCACCAGTCTTAGCTGCCCTTTGGAAGGTAGCATATGCTGGCGACACAACTATCATAAAAAGAGCTGAAAGTAGTATTACTGTCCCAGCAGCAACTACCTGAAACATTTCAGAAACAGGAAATATCGTCAAAATAAATAGGTTAAAACTAACAGGTCTTTTCAACTCACCACCCCTTCAGATATATAAAGATTATCAATGGTAAGGAGATTACAGAGTTATGCTATTTGCAGGATAACTCATTACTAAATCTCCTAAACCCTGTGTAAGTTTGCCTTGCAGTAAGGTGACATTGCAGTAATCTTTATTTCAGCAGTGTTGACTATTCATTAATCCCTTTATTTTTGAAATTGAACCCAGACCTTTTAACGTCTCAGAGATGAAAATTATATTAGACGTTTACCACTTATGTTTCATGAGACCCTGAAATCGTCTTCTGCTTTTGATGTAAAATGGTCGAAACTCGAGGAAAATAAAAGGGCTGCATTGATAAGCAAGGCTTTCTAAAGATGAATTACACTTTCATCTTTATGCCAAGAGCTAACCAAACTGCTAAACATCAAAACCAAAAGTAAGCCATATTGATTGTTCAAAGCCAGGAAACAAAGGTAAGATTTTGGAGTTATAACAGAGATGGCAAGATCAATATTGATCATAATTGTGTCATGCAGCTTTACACAAACCAAATATCCTTGTTAGAGAGATCGGTAAACTTTGCAACCCAGATACATAGCCGTCCAATCTGATACGGCCAACTAGAGCTACTTCCCGGTGCGCCATATCTTCTAGTAGTACTCATACCGTCCTTGAGTCTAGACGTGAATCCCTAGTTTGTTCAAGACCCATTCCATAAACTATCGACATTTCAGCAAAAGTATAGTGTCAAGTGTTCAGCCAAGCTTGTAATCGGATTAAGGAAGACAAATAGATACAGATATGGGATACATGTACAACCAAGACATGGCGATATGACAAAACCTAAAAAAATAGAATACGGATATGACAACAAAATCAATATTTAAATAGCCGATTTGCTTAGATGTAGTTGTTGCTAAGATACGTAGTGTAATTAACTTTTATGTCCTTTTGATAAGTGATAGTAGATATACTTAAAAACCATCAACCTATCTTCAAAGTCATATAGATTTTTCTTTCCTATCAATGTAATTGAATTTGAGACGTAACAGGAAAAAGTAAAATTTAAAGTTTACACACAGTGCTCATGTATCCATTTCCATTTCCGAAGGATATTCCTCCCCATATCCTGTACATGTCCTTAAATAAATAATATTTTATTAATTATAGGATAAGCGTAATAAATATATGATATGTATCCAAAAATATAGAAACATTTATTAATTATTGGATACATGTAATGTATATCTAATACATGTTTTCAAATATCCTATGAATACAATATTTGATATGGTATCCAATACAGATATGCCGGAGTGTCCTTGTTTCATAGAGGTTAATGCAAGCAAGGATAGGTCAATGAAGATCTAGTTCACCTTCCCAAACATCAAACAAAACCATACAATAATCTATAAAGGCAAAATGCAAACACAACAAAGAGACAAGTTCTAATGTTGACACTGTATCATCATGCTCACGTCAAATAAATATGGATACCGAGCTATGATCTCATAATACTTTGGAATTGAAGTTCCCTAGCAAAGAGCTAAATTCATACTTTTCCATGAAAAGGTCGTTAAATTTAATATTGAGACAAAAAATACCAAAACTCAAATAAGATGAAACGATTAACCAGCAGTGTATATGCTTTGTGCGTGCATAATCGTATGAAACTTATTACCTTTTGTTGCCGAGGGAATGTATTTGCGATTTCTTTGAGAAAATGGGGCTCGGGTATGGACCCATCTGGCAAATCCACCAGCGAAGAAGAGAAGGGTGGTAATGCCTTTGTTAAGTAATTATCAGGCAATTTAACTGGGGACGTTGAAGACGAAGAATTAGAATATGGGTCTTCCTGTTTACACGACAACGAGTTGACTCGCCGGGAGTCGGTGCGCCATGATGACGAAACAACGAGGTTTGGGCCGTCAACTCGGCCGTGTAGGGTGAGAGAAAGGAAAGGTTTTAGATGGAGTTTTGAGGGGATTGTGTTAGAGCAGATAAGCCTCTCCATCGCTCCTCTCTCTCTCTCACACAGAGGTTTTAGAGGTAAAGATTTTGCAGAGGAGACAGAGGAACCATGTGGGGCGATCAGGATAATGCACCTACCTACTACGACGACGTTCAAAACTGTAAAACTTTTTTCGATTTGTACCCCGGAAGCTTTTGACTCTGTCAATTAAGGCCAAAAATTAATGGAGGTGGTTGGTTTTGAATTTTGATAGTCCAATGTGAGTGTGACTTCAGATGGCTGTGGAGACAATAAGGCCACGACATGGTTCACTAATTTTTAATCCTAGGGGATAGTTTAAGTAATAATAAAGGTAAATTATAAATTTAGACCTCATGAGTTTGAAATATTAAATTATAAGGGATAAATCTCTCATGAATATTCTAATCTCGGTGTGGATGATCTGTTGTTGATCAGACTGAGAAAAGAATTAGTCAAAATACATATAAATTAATTCAAACACCTCTTACCGTTGAACTAAAAAAAAATTGTATACTACTTTGGAATAAAGTAGGTTGAAGTTTGGTAGCAATCATTGTAAGCCCCATTATGCTATACCATCTATGTTTGATTTTTTTCCTTCGTATTATTGAGGCTGTAATATAGAAAAGTATAGCCAAATTTTCAGGTAATTTGTAATTCGATTTTTTAAATTTTTTTTGGGTAAGTAATTTGTAACGCAACTTAACTTAAAGAGATTGCTATATAATTGTATACCAATCAATCTTTCATTCCAAAGCATGAATATAATATCAATAAACTTGCTTCGATCAATCCTAAAACAGATCGTGATATTTAGAAGTTATCAAAGAACACCGATTTATTTGTTTGTACCGTGCAAGAGTTTGAAACCATTTATATAATAAAAATATAATATCAATAAACTTGCTTCGATCAATCCTAAAACAGATCGTGATATTTAGAAGTTATCAAAGAACACCGATTTATTTGTTTGTACCGTGCAAGAGTTTGAAACCATTTATATAATAAAAATATAATATCAATAAACTTGCTTCGATCAATCCTAAAACAGATCATGATATTTAGAAGTTATCAAAGAACACCGATTTATTTGTTTGTACCGTGCAAGAGTTTGAAACCATTTATATAATAAAACAAGAGTTTGTTTGAATTTTATCTTTGTCATATTTTTCCCCTCAAAACTATCACTTACTTCACCCATTATCTATTTGTCATACTCAAACGTCAAATTACATCATTAATTTCTATTACATATTTAATCATTTATATATTTCTTTCCTAAAAATATCACATCACTCATTTTTATCATATATTTAATTATTTAATATTTATTTAATTTATAGTTAATATAATTTAAAAAAATTTAATATAGTGAGATCGATTTTTTAAACGCTTGAATTTTATATTTTATCGTGTCTTCGGACACGAGTAATGACTAATAACCTAATAATATACAAACGTTTCGTGGGGCTAACGTCGTTACACCAAAGAACTGGCTATGCACCAACAAAATGAAGAATAAGCCAATTGCAAAAGTCACTTAATGCTATTCATCTAGTTGAGTTACAAGACAAAAGGCCAAGCCAAGAATATAAGAGTCTATTTAGTATGTTTTTTAGGAGGAGTTTGAATTAAATTCTCCAAACTTGGGTTTGACCCAAAGATGAGATTTAATATGTAGTATTGTTCATACTTATGTTTGGTATGCGCAGAGATATATGACTATTATGATAATATATTTGTATATAAATAACTATTTTGTCCCTTAACAAATTTAATCTAAACCTATGTGGGAATATATAAGGGGTATAAATGTCTTTTAAATATTAAATTCATTAACCCACCTATGAAATCCAACTCCCCCCCCCCCCCCCATGACTTTCATGAAACCCAAGTTCATAGGTTTTATGACTGGCCATCCAACGCGCCAGGTTTCCAAATTTTAGACTAAACATGAGTTACCAAACATGGGTTTAAGGGGTTTATTCCCCAACCCCAACAATCCAAAATCCTTCCAAACTCATACACCAAACAGTCTCTAAGAGAATTGGTTTGTAAATTGCATCTTATTTATCATAAACGCTCTAAACAATCACTACAAATAGCTTGTTATGCACAACTTTTTAGAGTAAGGTTATAAGAAATTTATCTCTCATGAATACTCTAGTTTTAGTATGGATGATCTATCTTTCACTGGACTGAAAAGAGAGATTAGTAGGTGCACTTAAGTTGGATCAAACACTCCTAATCGTTTAATAAAAAAAAAAAAAAAAGGCAAAATAGCTTTATATGCACAAGAATACGAAGAACAAGACAATTGCAAAAGTCCTTCGACGTTACTCATTTGTTTGAGCTACAAGACAACAAATTAACGTAAGAACGCGCAAGAATGGCCTTTTGGAGGATAGAGCCCAATGTTAATTGCATCCTATTCAGCTTATGACTGTAAATAATTGCTACAAATAGCTTTATATGCACTCACAACAATTGCATAAAAGTCACTTTATGCTACTAATCTCTTTAATCTACATGACAGAAAACTGTCAAGAACGCAAAAAAGTGCTTTTCAAATGACAGAGCCACATGGAATAATGAACTTAGATCATAGTTTTTTTTTTTTGTTTTTTTAGTCTTGTTTATGCTCCCCTTCTATGGGAATAAATATTGGATATAACTGTTATATCAAATAAAATCTATTTATTAATTTATCTATTTATTAGTGGACTGTTATACCAAATAACACCGTTGACATGACGTAACAATTAGGTTAAATGTTTTTTCCTTATATGGAATGGCTAGGGCAAGAGATTAGTGTCAACGACAACTTAGCTTGCTCAAATCAGTAAGCTCCTCAAGGTAACTCAAAAAGGAGGAGGTAGAATATAATGACTTTTCATGTAAAATATGAAAATATTAGAGGTAATTCGTGCTTGAAGGTATGATATAATGTAATGCTTCAATTAGTACGATGAAAAAGTGAGAGGATGAAAAATTTAAAGGATGAAAAGTTAGAGGGATAAATAAAACACCATATTTAGTAAGAAAGGAAAGTAAGAAGGATAAAAAATTGAATGGATTAACTTTCCTTCTAACTCATCAAAATTAATCTCTCCAAAATTAGAAAAAAAGTGGATGAAAAATTAATTATTTGTGTTGAGATGTATTTTATTTGTCTATATATCTTTTTATATATACATATATTATGTATACATTAATTTCATATAAAAATATAATGGTAAAATATGTATATATATATATATATTAAAAATAAAAAAATTAAAATTAAAATTAAAATTTTAAATTATTTTTTTTTTTTTCCATTTTAACTAAGGGTGAAAATTTTCGACTTAACACGATGATACGATTCGAATTCGATACGAAAATAAATAGGTCAACTCGTAACTCGACACGATACAATTAATTACATGAGTTAAGTTAAATTTGACTAATATTTAATACAAACAGGTAATGACTCCACGAATTTGGCATGACACGATTCGATAGTCACTCCTAGTCTTAGCCAGCACAAAAAAAAAAAAAATTTAGTCATTTTTATTTTTTATCTATCCAACCAAATACAAAAAAAAGAAAGTGTATTTTTTCTACATTCCATCCTTGAAGGATAGAAAGTGTATCCCCTACTTTTCATCCTTCTTGTTTTTCATTCTCCCTACCAAACGGAGTATAAGTGAAAAAAATAATAAATTTAAAGGGAGCAAAAATTTAATAAGAATAATTTTAAGAGGGATATTGGACAAGTCTCTTTCAGAATCCCTATTATAAATATCAAAAAAAATGTTTGTTGTCTTTAAACCGACTGTTCTGCTTTGTCAATAGGTGTACCTTGTCCAATTGCTTAAAGTCCAAATCAATCTAATCATGCAAACTTAAAGACTCGCTTGGGATGTGCAACTATAAACCCAACTCTTTATTTGACTTGAAACCAACCATAGATGTCAGGTGGTTGGTCATTACTCATCGCTCCAAGAATTAGTGACTCGCACTTCTTATTAATAAGTGCCAATGGACTATTTTTGTGTTTATCACACTTGAATTGAGAGAGTGAAAATAAGTTTCTCTTGTTTTTGGGGAATAGAAAAGTCAAATTATTACCTAAACCAAATAATTGTTTTGAAATGACTATTGAATAATTAAATAATGTATTTTTAAGTGGAATACTTTTCATCAAAAGATTGAGAAAAAGTTCGAAGGCAGACACAATGAAATCCCAAAAGACATGGAAGATATCCCTTATATATTGCTGGGAGTACTCTTTGTTTGACAGATACGACACAACGGAGGTAACAAGTGATACATTTGAGGGAAAAAGTTCAATTTAAATAATTTTGGGAAACATATTGATGATTATTAGATGAGTTTTTGTTAGATTATCGAATAGATTTATTGAAGTCTATTATATTTTATATTATATACTAGGACTAACCCATGTTTTTAGTAAGGGTGTTCATCCTATCCTACGGGTAAAAAATATAGTCTTTCGTCTTCCTACCCGATATTTTGTAAAAGAATTTTTTTTTGACCTATCTTACCCGATCAGATTTTTTTTGGCCTATCTTAAGAGTAGAAAATATACTCTTCCGCATTCCTATCAGATTTTTGTGGCTAGTCGTTTAGTAGAGTAGAGTAGGGTTGAGTCGAATAGGATAGGAATTTGCTGCCAATCGAAAATTTGAATACTTTTAGTTTTTAGACACGGTACAATGTGAATGGTTTTGAGAGGGATGTTGGTAATCGTTAAATTAGTCCATTTGAGACCATCAAATAAACTTATTGAAACATTCTATATTTTATTATAGATTTTAGAATAAATGACAAGATTATACTTTAAAATATTTTTACATTCTTAATTCACATTTTGAAAGATTAAAATTTTTATATTATACCTTCAATCACATAAAATGATAAATGTAATCTAAATATTTATTGTTTTTTTTTATAAAATTTTTATTGTATTGGTTGTATTGTCATAATTTTTTTTTGTACTAGAATTTGTATAATACTCAACTTTAAGTATTTCCAATAAAAAATTTATACACAAATTTTTTTTTAAAAAAAAGAGCATAGTGCTACCTTTTTGTTTGATTAGAGGTGTAATATGAAAAATTAAAAATTTTGAGATAAACTGAAAATATAAAATTCTTTCGGGGTGGAAAGTGTCATTTTCCTTTATTTTTAATACTTTTTTATCTTCGCGAAAATCATTTATTGCCATCCACGATTTCGATAAAATGGTCATCTGTTACAATCCAGCGCATACTATAAAGTTCCTCTTCTGACTTTTAGGGCTTTCTTAATCTTGTTTATCTCCCTCTATCTCTCTTGGGGTTGGGATTCTCCGCCGCTCCATTCCGATACCATGTCTTCTTCGAAGACGATCGTGTTGAAGAGCTCCGACGGCGAGACCTTCGAGGTGGAGGAAGCGGTGGCCGTGGAGTCGCAGACCATCAAGCACATGATCGAGGACGACTGTGCGGACACCAGCATTCCTCTCCCTAACGTTACCAGCAAGATCTTGGCCAAGGTTATCGAGTACTGCAAGAAACACGTCGAAACCCCCAAGTCCGATGACAAGACCGCCGATGATGATCTCAAGAACTTTGACGCGGAGTTCGTCAAAGTTGACCAGGGCACACTTTTCGATCTCATCTTGGTTTGATTCTAATTCTTGAAACCCATCGATTTCCTCATCTATCATTCTTTTATCTCTCTTTATTCTCCGATTTTGTCAAGGCATGCATATCTAGGGTTTTTATGGTAGTCGATTATATCATTCATTTATTTATCTCTATATAGGGATTTCTTGATTTACTGTTGCCATTATGTGAATGCACGTGATTAGGGTTTCTGGAGATGGTTAATTTGCTCTCTTTTTGATTGTATATGTCTGTATTTTTGTTTTCTATGCATATACTCGAACAAACCTTGTGGATTGATTTACTGTTGCGATTATGTGAATACACGTGATTAGGGTTTTTATGGATAGGAGATTCTGGTATATTTTTATTGCTATCTTTGTATGTGTAAGAAACCGTAAAATATTTGTGTGCATCATTTTTGGTGTTTAATAAAATCGTCAATAATGGGGCGGGCAGCCTGAAAGTTGTCCAGGGGCTCTTTTTGATCTCATCCTGGCTTGATTGTCAAATCTTTTGGCCCCTTTCTCTTGTTTGATTTGTATGTTTATTTGTTTTCGTCATGTGATCATCTGAAAGTGTATATATGTTGCTTTGTCTTTATGTGTTTGCATCGATTCTGAATCTATGGATTCTTTTGGATTGTCTATTTTCTTGGATTCTTTGTTTTCCTGTTGCCATTGTACAGAAGCACATGTTTAGGGATTTGTAGGATATATAGCTTATTCTGCCCTTATTCGTGTTTATGAACAACTTTATAGCTATGTATATGTAGTTATATATTTGAAAATGTAAGTCCTAATTATTGAAGCATGTGTGGGTTTTGGTTTTAACCATTTGAATTTATCATGCTAATTGAATGCTCTTGTTTTCTTTTTGTGGTAGTAGAGAAGAATTTGGTTTTTTGGGGTCCTTTTTTGTTAACGGCTGATTATATGCTTAATTCAGCTTTATTCAGGTGAGAGCATGCTTGCTTGCTTGATCACGGGGAGGCAGTGGTAGAGTTTTAAATTTATCCTGTAAATGCCTGTTTGCTTGATTGGTGTTTGTAATATTCTTTTCAGGCAGCAAACTATCTCAATATTAAGAGCCTGCTAGACCTGACCTGTCAAACAGTGGCTGACATGATAAAGGGAAAGACTCCGGAGGAGATCCGCAAGACCTTTAACATCAAGAATGACTTCACTCCAGAGGAAGAAGAGGAGGTTCGCCGGGAAAATGCCTGGGCATTTGAGTGAATCATGCAGACTTTGATGTGTCATTACTCCAATTGGATTGAGTACTATCATCATGTAATAGATTGCATGTGTTCTTCCTTTATGCTAGTAAATATGTGGTATGTCCTTGCTTTGTGAAAACTGCTGAACTCCATTTTATTGTTATTTAATACAAACATGAAACTCTTTTTCTTGTAATGGTATGGTAATATATGGTTGTTTTTTTGTCTTGGTATACTGATTTCTGCTTGCAATGCTTGTTTTTATTTCTCTATTTGAGGCATTGTGGGCTATCTTCGGTCTTATGCTCTCTGTGTCTGGATCTCTGGCTGGAAGGTTTAAGTCCTTTTATGCTATATCTGCTACCTCCCTTGGAACAAAATTTACATCAATTTATATGTTTTATAGATGGTTGTTCCACTACCGAGCTTACTGATTAATGGGCTCAAAGACAAAAACGCGATACTGTACTTGTCCATTTCATTCTGTTTAAGTTGCGTTTTACTTGTCCATTTCATTGTTTATGCTGGATTTGAATCAGAGATATCTGTAGTGTCAATATGATGGATCACAACTTTTAGTCGTTGATGAAGTTAGTGAAAGGGAATTACCACTACTTCGAGAGGGGTTACCTCATGTCTTTATGGTCACGTGGACTGTTAGTTGCTGGTGTTTTATCTGAGTTTTATAAAGACCCTCCTTGTGCCTTTGTGGTATTGTTGTTGAACCTCAACCATTGGGTCAGGGGTTTAAGGTCGGAAGTGAGAGGAGAGTGGAAACATCTGTGAAATGTTTTGCTTCTCATGTTCTTAAAGGAAACTTACAAACCATCTAACAAGCGGAAAGATTTTCTATTGCCCCTGTGGTTGGAATCCTAGTGGGGAGAGTTGAATTGCCTTCAGGTTAGCATGTGCAGTTTTACCTTCTCTCGAATGTGTTTACCATTTGCCCACCACTGAGGTATGAAAACCTGTTCTGCTTTAGAGTTGCTTTGGAGTTTACTTATGCCTGAAGGCCCATTGGTAACTCGAGGATCGTCTCTCTCTCTCTCTCTAACACACACACACACACACATCTCGATAATTTGCATCCTTAGAATATGGATCAAGTTTCAATTTGGTCTCTTAAATTCCAATTGGAAGAGAAAAGTTGTTTATAGTTTTAGTTTAGTCATTCAATCCAAATCTATTAAATTCATTTTACACAATAGAAAATATTATTTGGAATTAATTTAAAGATTTAATTTGATTAAAAGTGGTCTCAATCTAACATGAAAACTTAAATTTAATTCAATATTTATATTGAATTAAATTTTTATAGCGTTGTTCTAAATAAAATCTATTAACACTTTCTTACTGATTGGTAACTAGAATTCACCTGAGGGGTGCAAGAGCAACTTAAACATCAATTCAAACTCAAAACAAAATATAAAGTGTGCGTGGATAAAAATTTACGTATCCCTTTGGTAACAACGCTTTGGGTTCTGTAGGCCCTAAAAAATATACTAATTTGATTATATTTAACTTGTAGGAAAAATTATATGGTTTGATAATGAAACACAAATTTAACTCGATTTCTGGCGTAACAGTGACACGTACAAAAATTCAAATCTACGTCACAGTTCTGGATGACTAATATTATTCTCCATTCCAGCCAATGGCATTTAGCCACCTGACAACTGAATATCGAGAAAGAAGCACAAATATAATGGACGAACGGACAAATCCGCGCACACTTCCATAATTTCATTCCCTTTCCTTTCGTTACGTCGTCTTCTTCTTCAAATCTCAGATTTGGACATCTCCGCCAAAAATGGCAGAACACGAGCCATTGCTGAACCACGAAGCGGCCAAAGAAGAACAACCAGAGCTCGTCGCCAGTTCCAAGCAAAACACTCGAGCTACTCGCATCGCATCTCTCGATGTTTTCAGAGGCCTCTCTGTTTTCGTAAGGTTCTTTTTCTTTTGACTCTCAAAAATTGCATAATGTTCATTATTTTACTAAGCTTAACGTTTTTCAGTTCTTGCGGTCGCTTTGAAGTGCTTTGTTATTGACTTTTTGTGTTTAGGATTCGTTCTAAATCTACTCTCTCTTACTTTGATAGGTGTTACATACTATATGTACTTAACGTCAAATTGGTTATTATTAGTTTAGAATTTCGGGATCAATTGCATGTTCTTTGATGCTGTATAATTGGTGCTTTCTATTTTCTTCTGATGCAGGTAGATACACTTGACGGATTTTTTTTTTTTTTTATATATGATCTCTATGATTGTTTTACAGAGAGATATCAACTACATAGCTTTGAGGGGGAAGGCGACAAGAAGTTTTTTTTTTTGTAACATCCTTATCCTTTACGTTGCTCTGACATTACTAGCGAGAAAACTATGGTTTTAGTTATGACCAAATTCGAACAAGAAGACTTTCTTTCTTTTGTTTTTAATTTTTCCTGAAACATTAGCTTAAGATGAAAAGGATTACTTAATTTTCTGTTTGGAATTGAATTTGTATGTTCGTGTGTGGATGATCAAGTATCTGCAAAGTAAATTAGTATAATTTTTCTGCTTCATTGTTTCTTGGAACCTAGTGCATTTCTGAAATATTCAACTTTTATTTCTATCATCATGACGACTTTAGTTATTGAAACATATGCAGAAGCTTTTAACAATGGGTTTTGGTATGAATTTTTTATTTTCTAAGTTCTATTACGATAATTGAACCTACATAGATTTGATCGGTCGTGACTCTGATTGTATAACATGTTGTTGCTCTCAGCTTATGATGCTCGTGGATTATGCTGGCTCCATTTTCCCAATCATTGCTCATTCCCCCTGGAATGGTGTACATTTGGCTGATTTTGTGATGCCTTTCTTCTTTTTTGTTGCTGGAGTTTCTCTTGCTCTTGTATATAAGGTATTGATAGAAAATTGTTCTAATGATACATTTGTTTTTCTTTTGGGTGGAAATAGTAACTTGTCATTCTTAAAGTCTTTAGATGGCTTAACGAGTAATGTTTACTAGCATCTCAATGCAGTTGTACCACAGAAATTAAAACAATGCTGTCATCAGGTTTGTGGGGATTTATGGGATGGGGGAAACCCACCCCTGTTGGACAGTCTACTATCCTTTGGGCAATTATGTGAGGCATTGAATAAATTCTCAAATGAACTTAATGGCCATTACCCTATGTAGTAAACAGTTCATAATTTAATAGAGATCAAACATATATGCTCCATGTTTTCTGCAGAAAAACAATTATATATAATCTGATTCTATTGAGGTAGTTTATTTATCAATTCATCAAGCACTTAATGAGTCCTTTCCTTTCTATTGTTTCAGAATGTTCCAAACAAAGTTGAAGCAACTTGGAAGGCAGTGCTAAGGTCACTGAAACTTTTTTTCCTTGGCATTCTTCTTCAAGGTAATGTTGTGGACAGCTTCCGTATTTTTCATGCCAAGTAGTAAACTCAAACTGGTTCTTAACATAGTCTCTACACATTGATATTACTCTGCCCTTCTTGTGTTGTTTATTTATAAGCAGAAATCAACAATATTTGTGGTTACATGGTTTTCTTTTTTCTATCCAACTAATCTGTATGAGTGATTAATGTCAACACCTTCAGAGAAATAGATGTCTTTTTCTATTCACTCTATGCTGAGTCAAGAGCCAAAGCATAACATGTTAGATTAATTATTGTTGTTCTTTCGTTTGTTGGTAGCATTGTGAAAAGATAAATTAGTAGGGCATGCAGTATCTGTGTTTTACATGGATTATAGAAACACAAGATCTCTGGTTACTATGGAAGACAACAAATTCTGATTATGCCAGCTCTCATAAGTTTGGATATGAAGAAATTTAAGGCCATTGTTTGCATTGTTTTTTACTGTCCTTGATTTTCTTTTCTATTAGATTCTAAAGAAACGATTGGCTATTGGTGGTGGAAGTACAATTGCTGCAATTTTGAATCAGATTTTGTAGTGAAAAAGCCACTTTTTTATTTTTTAACCAATTAAAGCAAAGTGGATAAAATATATTAAATGATTTTCTTTCTAGTTTAAGGAATAGACTCATTGAAAATGAGTTGCTCAAGTTAATAAAGGAACTGGGAAAGGTAGTGTCATTTGAAGGGACTTGGTGGAAATTGGTAAATAGCATCTCCCCAACCATAGACTGTTCTGGGAAAATGTTATTGTTGCTCTCATTTCCACCTCTTACTTTAACCCATTTTTTGTCAAGTCAACTTGCACCTCATGGTTGAAGTTTATATAATTATTTTTATCTTGATGCTTGTTCTCATTGATTGACCACATGGTCATCAGATATTGTTGGAGATACAGGAACTCACAAATTACTTATTTCAGGTGGTTATCTACATGGGATAACTACTTTGACATTTGGTGTTGACATTGAAAGAACACGTTGGCTTGGCATTCTGCAGGTGCCTTTGATTTCCTCTGGAGAGAATTTCTACTTTTATCATTTTTTTCCAAAATCTCATAAGCAATGCTATATGTATGTATATATGTGTTACTGTACATGTTATCCTTCCTGGACTTCTAACTTTTGACAACAAATAGTAATAATAATTTAGCACACCTGCCACTCAGGCTCAAGTGCTTTAGCAAAAATATCTTAATTTCAAGCTCTATAATGTCAATATGTTGATTTATTGTTCACTGTTGGTAAATCCAGAGGATAGCAATTGGATACATAGTTGCAGCTTTGTGTGAACTATGGCTTCCATGTCAATGGTGGAGGGGCGAAGGAGCTTCCAGGAACTATTTTTCGCATTGGTGAGGTTATACCTGGCACTACCTCAATTGCTATAAACTTGGAGCTCTTGCATATCTAGTAGCAGATTTTCTAAATATGGATTATTTTCATGTCTTCTTTTTGGAAAATTAGAAGGAAAAAATTTTGTTCCCTAGTCTTTTGTCTCTTATTTTTCCATGTGAATGACAATACATGGATTATTTTCAGGTCTTCTTTTCAGAAAATTACAAGGAAAAAAATTTTGTTCCCTAGTCTTTTGTCTCTTATTTTTTCATGTGATTGACAATAATTAGGATAAAAGGTTGACATTGCAATAAAATATTATTTCCTTTATCATGCATTAGCATGTGGATGCCTTATAAGCAGGAACAATGGAGTAAAGAGTTTGATCCCTAATCACTTGGCCCAAAATTAATGAAAACCATAGATGCATGGATTGAAATTGAGTACTTAGCGTTGGACAAATTAATGGGATGACTTTAGCAAAGCTATGTGGATGAAGTAGAGCACAAAATTGCAGCTGGAAGTTTTGGAACTTTGCTGTTTATAGATATCTTCAGGCTTATGGTACCATCATTGAACACTTAAGTAGGATTTCTGTCTCTTTAAGTCACGGATCTTTGTCATTTTAGATAATTCTTCCTACTTATTTTGTAGGTTTGCATAATTGTAAGATACCCTCCAGGTCAACCATTACACCCGATGTCAAAATACCATAAGGAATCACTTTCTGAGAGTTTAGAACTCATACTCAAGAATCTGGAATACACAAGACAGAACCACTGGGTTGCATGTAACTCTCCTACAACAGCAGGAAAAGAGCAATTCTTGGTGAAACTGATGTGTGATTGCAATAATTGAACTTCTGTTGAATACATAAACCCAAACGTATGAGTCAGTTTTTGAAATTCACTTTTTGTTTGAACTGAACCCACTGAATCAGATTTTCATGCAGGGGCACATTATAGGTGCTGGATATTTGTGCTTACTCTCCACATCCATTTGTCTGTGAATTCTTCTTTCCTTGTCAAATATGTTTTTTTAACAGAATCCTTGTCAAATTGATGGACAACTTTTTATGTTGAATCTAGAGTACCTTACTGTTATGATTGGAAAATGGATTTTCTTACTTAACTTTTACTAAGAGAATACTAAGAGAAGATGATCTTTCTTTTGCTACTTGTTTCTCCTCTCTGTTGGTTCTTTCAGTTAATAATGAGTTAAGTTTTTATGCTGTAGGTGCACTGCATTTTCACTCTGTGCAATATATTTGGGATTAACATACGGTTTGTATGTTCCGGATTGGCAATTCGAGGAATTGCAGTCAACCTCTTTTTCACTTCCGTCAAATGATGGCTACATTTACAAAGTAAGACCATGCTTTGTGCTTCTTTTTTCAGATTCTTCGCTCTCTCTAAATTGAGCCCCATGTTTATCGAAGGTTAAACAATTTTGAACGCATAATAAAACACAGTAACCTAACTCGATATCATTTTTAATACCCATCAAAACCTTCTATCACTCTCTGAACGTTCTATTGGTTCCAAAGGATAATTTTAGCCAAAATTATTTGACTTTGGCCACATGTAGCTTCTGCCAGATGTAAGGAAGCTACTTGTTTTTCTTTTTTCTTTTTTATTCTGGGGAGGGAACCATAGTTATCAGAAAAGGAGATATCAAACCGGCGAGGAAAGGTTGACTGGTTTGCCGGTTCAACTGTTACGTCAATGTTCAGAACCGTCAGATTATAGCTATGATAATTTCAAACAATGCATGAAGTTGACATGGTATAAAGTTGAATAGTATGTAAAAAGTTGTCTACTAAAGGCTGGTAGATTAGTGACTAAAGTTGCATTAAATAGTTAAGAGTATGATTTGAGCCCTTGGAAATTGTAACTTATTTAACAACGGGCAAAGATATTAACCAGCTTAAATAACCGGCTCTCTTCAGTTTGTTAAAAATTTAGCTGGTTTTGCCAGTTCATCACAATTCATTTCAACTTTTGTAGCTTACACAATCCAGATAGAGAACCTAACTAAAGCAACAGATAGGCCACCAGTCCAAACAGCTGGTCTACTCCCGTTCTCATCTTTATACTTCCTAAAATCTGTGAACTGTGTAGGCATAGTTTTTAGTGTCAAGTCATCTAAGGCAAAAGATGCGTATGCTGTCTTTGATAACCATTATGATGTTGATATTATAAGGCATTGGTCATTCAATGGTTCTTCCTAAAAAGGTAGCTGATCACTTGCCGCATGTGAGAATTTACGTTTAAGATTATTGTTCAAGCACAAAACTTATTAAACATGCATGTATGGAACTGTTAACTTGCAGACATATTGTTCGGTTTTTCTTTATTTTTATTGTAGGTGAGATGTTCTGTAAGAGGTGACCTTGGACCTGCCTGTAATGCTGCTGGAATGATAGATCGTTATGTTATTGGCATTAATCATCTATATAAAAAACCTGTATACAGAAACTTGAAGGTATATTTGATTGATGCTAATTGTTGTACAACCCTAACTAATACCATCTCATGCATTGATCATACGCAAGATTCTCATTTACAGGAATGCAATATATCCAAAACTGGCCAGTTTTCAGAGAGTACGCCTTCATGGTGTCATGCTCCTTTTGATCCTGAAGGTATTTTAAGGTGATCAATCTTACTTTCTTTTTCATGGTGTTCCGTTACAACTAGTGTTGCTTGGTTCGCTTCATCTTCATCTTCATCTAGTTTTTTTTCAGCAGCTTTTTTTCCTGAGTATGATTTGTGCTGCCTCACATTATGTTAGACTGTAGTGGTATACCTGTTCAATATCATTCCTATTTGACCTTTAATGTATGCCTATGTTTATTAACAGTGGCATTTTATTATCCGACTGCCTAATGCCAAACATAAATTAAGTCTTGAAAGTTTTAGACGAATATAATTTTTTTATGCCACCCATGTATGGTAGGTGGAAGTTTTATTTGCAAAACTGAGTTCCATTCTGGTTAGAGGATGTGTGAAAGTATTAAGTTTCTAATTAATTGCATTCACACCACACGTTTACAGTTCCTTGACTGCAGCTGTGACTTGCATAATCGGACTACAGTATGGCCATATTCTTGTAAAATTACAGGTGAGACACATCAAGTAACTTATAGTTCTACTATCAAACGTAAGTGGACTGTATTATTGTTAGACAATGCAGTTGATAAATAATGCACCATGTTATAGTTGTAATTGTTAGGTAGAGAGGATATGATAAAACATCCTGATGACTGCCCTAAATTTTTATTTTGCTATTATTGTTCTGTGGCATGTGCGCATGCATGATACTTTACTGTTAACTTACACTCGCATCACATTCTAGAAAATAATACAATTTATGACTATCTGATACAAGAGGCAAACACTCTATTTCCAAATGTAAGATCAAGTTTTGTCGATAAGAATATTAGACATAAAACATTTATATACGTAGGCTCAATTTTCTTCCAAAAGTTGTTTATCACCAGTGTACAACCTATTGAGTTTTATTCAGATACAGGTGGTGGAACTGACATTGCTCAACTACATTTCAGGACCATAAAGGACGGCTATACAATTGGTGTATCTTTTCATTTGCATTTATGGTTCTTGGATTTTTCCTTGCCTTCATCGGTATGCTTTCTTAGAATTGTAGTTACTGTCTGGTGCACATATAAAAGGTCCATAGTTTCTTTTTATAAGAAATCCCATGTTGCTTGCTTAAAAAATTGTAGGTGTAACAAATGATGCCATGTTATGGAATCCTTTAATGAAGAAACACAATGAAAATACATAAATAAGGAAGAATAAAGGAAAGCAAAATGCTGCAGTAGAGACTTCTATACTGACGTTGAAATCGTATTGTTCTGACTTTTCTTGTCTAGTTGCAATAGGACCCTCCAGAAGCTCCTTAATCTGCACGAAATGCGTGCTTCAAGTTGCAAGTATTCTGATATTTTACTCTTTTTGTCCTTTTGCTCTTCAGGTATCCCTCTAAATAAACCTTTGTACACAATCAGTTATACACTGGTTACAACGGCATCTGCAGGAATCACATTTTGTATCTTATACATTTTGGTGAGTTCCAGAAGTAAAATTGTCACTTGTGAAAGCCTGTGGGTTTGGTCATGACATTCATGTTGGTTTGTTGACCATTGCATTCTTCTGAACTGTCAACCTAACCTTCCAAAGGAAAGAAATAAAGGAAAAGGGAAGGAATACTAAAGGGTTAATAGCATGGTAATGGTATAATATACAAGCCTTGTATTCCAGAAAAAAGATTGTTGAAGGATGGGATTCGTTATCTATCTCCACAACATTGCAGGTGTCAATGTTCTATTTGATATTTTTTGATGAAAGCACAATGTTATGCAATGACGTCCAAACAAAATTATTTTACCAGCATGCTTGGTCCTGTGTGGTTGCGTGTAGCTTCATACCTGCTTAGTCATTGAAGCCGTCCGGCATTCTGTTTGTAATATTCTCTACAATAGATGTACCATGGTTAGATGCTCGTATGTGATGTGATTGTTCATAAATATAATCTGATCGACATGGTTGCCAACTCTCTGTGCTACAGGTGGATGTCTATGGTTGGAGACGGTTGACATTTTTGTGGGAATGGATGGGGAAGCATTCTCTAAGTATATTTGTACTAGTATCTTCTAATGTAGCTGTTATTGTGGTTCAAGGATTCTACAGGATTGCCCCTGAGAACAACATTGTAAGTGTTTCAAGAAACTACTTTTCAGTCGAAGGTTTTTCTTCCGTTTCAAAACACAATGGCATGATCATAGGATGTTTACAGGTTCTTTCCAAACATACACACACCCCAAAAAAACATACTCAGTTTATAGGGCAAAATAATAGCAGTTAAACAGTACCACCATTTTACTTCCGCTGCTCTCTCATGTTCACAACAGGTTCACTGGATTGTATCACGCTTTGTTGACAAATGATATGCTTGCCTTGCCATTTTCTTAGCACAGGTAAAAGCCAGCTTCTTTTTATTCACTTCATTTATTTATTGTTTTGAGGCTGTTTTCGACTTTTTTTAGAAAGTTCCATTTAACTGCATATCTTTCAATTCAAGGAGACATTTATAACCCAAAATCAAGAGGCATCTATCAAAAAACTACAAGTGGGAAAGTTCTCTCTTGTAAAAGAAAGATCTCATCCTCCTACAAATTGTTAAGCTGTTGTATAACTGGTTTAAGATCAGATAGTTTTATATTCGCTTGATTCCAAAAGGACTTTGGCGCAATGGTAAGGTTGCTCCATTGTGACCCAGAGGTCACGGATTCGAGTCATTCGGAAATAGTCTCTCTGTTGGTAAGACTGCGTATATCTAACCCTCTCCAGACCCCACAATGACGGGGGTCTCTTGCATTGGGTTTGCCTTTTTGATTCCAAAAGGCCAAAAGTATAATTGTCAAAGCAGCCCCTTATAAATGCCAAGCCATTTTATCCACCCGGCTACAAATTCAGACTGTTTAATGGTTGAAAAGGTGTGCAGCATCATCTAAGTCATGGATAAAGGATATTGATAAGGAACTTGGGATACGATTCTCTTCAGATTTTGATCCGGTCAATTTTAGTCATTAATGTTGCTAAGGAAGTACTGGAGTATAATATCTCTCATTTGAACTTTTTTTGTATTGAGGACTCGGTCCCCAATAGGAAAAGAGAGTGAGCTTGTGGAGGGCACTCGGATCATATCAAGTTAGGCCACTTAGGATTCATAGTTGGTAGTTTAGGATTAGGAGAGTTGAAGAAATCTAGTACCAGAAATTATCCAAGTCCTGAAAGTCTATTCACCTTGCAGAATTCATAACATTAGACACAGATAGAGCAACACAAAGGAAGCTACCCAAAAAACTTCAGGTCTAATTGTGAAATTGAATGTTGAAGATTCAGTTTCAAAGAAGAATACTCCAACATTATAAATTAGAGATGTGCCTCTATGGGTGGTTCACAGATCTGTAAAAGCACCCAAAAGGTTCATATACAGCAGGGCATAATCTTGAACTTTGGATGGCTAAGCTAAGCTTTGAGGAGGTAATCGCAACAAATTTGCAACTCCTTTTTTGAGTTGGAATTTCCCTATAATAAGATCTGGCCATCTCTCCTTATTTTAAACACTCAGTTATGATAAATAAATACATATGCACAGGCTGTGAGAAATGTGTTAACAGCAATGCATCCAACCTGCCATTTGTACCTATTAGTAGCCATACTCCCCCTCATGAGGGGCCAAGCACATGGACGTATCATGTACTGTGAAATAGGGCTTGCTTAATCTCTCATATAGGACTCGCCTACTCATTCCTTTTCACAGCTCATTTCTCTGTATCGTCTTGAACTGAGTCACCTCAACCGAGCTTTGCGTAACTAATTGAGATTGGTTAAACTAATCTGTCATTGTACTTTGTCATATTTTCTGGTAAACAATTGCTATCGTATCCTTTTACCATCCTATGCAATTGTTTTTATTCGAGCACAGGATGGGAATGTGCCTTAACCATTAGGTGAAGTTTTTTTTCTTTCTGAAATATCTTCAGCAAACAATGACAAGTAGTGAAACACATGGGATTCGGCAAATACTTCAGTATGATTAAATCATGCTAAAAAGGACTAAGAAAAGTCTTTTATTATCAGGATAGGCCAAACTGACCATTGGGTCGATTCATGGACATTGTTTTCAAGACGAATATACCTATTAGTTATTCTACTTAAATATGTTTATTCCAGATTTATTATTAGGCTGAAGCCAAACAAGGTCCTGACCACACTCTCACAACCAATTCTCCCATTGTGCACTGCTGTACCTTCTTATCTTCAATGATTAAGGGCCCATTTATCTCTGAATTTCATTTATGATAATTGACTAATCCAGTAGTTGATAGCATTTGAAGTGACTGGAAGGGGAGCATCTTAGATGGGTAATTCTCACTCCAGCTAGAGAACGATCATGTTTTTTCACCTAACATACAATAATATAGATATAATCATAACTGTAGAGACACCACAAGGAAGCCATTGATCATTTAGAGACTCAACGTTAGCAAACGAGCTGAATTGGCTTCATTAAACAACTTGCGTAATTGAATATAAGTGTCAAACATGATGATAATTAGCCTTTTCACAACATGCTCGCCTCGTCTCTAGACACTAAATACAAGTTTATTGGGACTGAGATAATTTTTTTTCTTTCTAGTATTTCTATGTATCTCCTCAATAGACATGTGAAAGATTGACTGTTCTTTTCTATTATTGCCATGCTGCTTAAAAAACTCTGATTCTTACAATACCTAAGCACTAGTTATGAGAAATTCACTCTTGATCGTTGGAAAATCATTGAGGGTATGCCAAAGCTATTCTAAGTTTGGAGGGTAACTTGAGCAGGTCAATTCAAATTCAATTCGAGCCTAATTTGAAAAAAATGGGGTTAGAGCTAGAATTTTTAATATTTGGTTGGGTCTAGACAAAAAAAATCTAACCCGAATTGAATTTAAGCAAACCACGGGTTGAGACTTCGGGTTGTTGGGTTGATGGGTTGAACCCGGATTTTAAAATTGGGTTGAACCCGAATATAAATATATTTATCTGGGATTAGTATTTATCTTCTTTGTTTAAAATCCAAACTTTCATTTTATTTCAAATCTTCACCACTGCGCCTCCATCACTCTTAGATCCCTCTCTCACTTGTCACTCCTCCCTCTCTCAATCTTCACTCATGTGAGTCATTTCAGACTCTCTGCCTCCCTCTCTCATTTGTCACTCGTCTGAGTCATCTCAAACTCTCAGCCTCCATTTCTGACTCGTCACTCCTTTTTCTCTCATTCTCTCTCTCTTTTCATTTGCGTCTCGTCTTTCATCTTAGATCACTTGAAAAAACTTAGATATATACTTCTAAAAATCAAATATACACTTCAAAAAAATCAATCCGAATTAAGTAATTCAAGTTCAACCCGATTTTTAACTCGAAATCAGTATAAATTAAGTAATTCTAATTCAATTCGAATCCGCCCGACTTAAGTTCGGACAGTACTCGGGTTGAATACCTCGGATTGAGATAGAGTTAGGGTTAGGATTGAAGATTATATACTTAGGGTTGATATAAGATTGATTTCTCCACTTGCTCGAGTTGCGCCCTTAATTCTAGTGAATAGTGATGAGGTTAAAAGGAAATGGATAGGTAAAGAGATCCATCCACAGTTCAAGTCACACAGTAGGTAGAATAATCCCATTTGTAGTAGATACTTGCACCAGTGTGTGGGTGTCACTATCTTCTTTTGAGTAGATGTGACAAATCATGGAAGATTTGCTTGTTTGTTTCTACAATTTTCTATGCTCTTGTTGCCTAATGCATATGGTAAGAACTTATCCAGCTATTTCGAGAATCTTCCTTAACTACATCAAACATAGCACACCTTAATAATGAGGGTTGTGCAATAACTTGTGGGGCTGCATTCTGATAATACAAAGAATCGACCACAACAACTTTTGGGTCATGTTTGGTTGTAGAATTTCAGATGATCCCATCTCTGGGCTCCACCAATCCTTCTTTGCAAGCTATTTGTATATAATTCTTGTAAATAAATACATGTTTTGTAGGAGCAGCAATTTTGATAAGCTTGCTGACTCAAACCTGCGAACTAGATAGGATATCTCGAGGGAACAATGGGTCAAGAATTATGAACTCCGGGTGTGACTTCTCTACAATTTCATAAGGTTTTGAGGATCATCCAATTTTTTTACAATTGCTTGTTAAGTCGTTACTCATCGTCTTTCAAAATGAGATTTGTTGCGTCACTCAAGTTCATTATTTGATCCCTAACGTTACTCTTTGACCAATTTGTGTTCTATTAGTTTTTTGTCCTTGGACAATTTTCACCCCTAATAATTCCACAAGATAAAGTTATTGTTCAGAACAAACATTATATATAATTTTAGAATAAAGTATAGAATTATACATTATTGCATAATATTGAAGTGTCACGTTATTTGAGTTGAAAAATTTGCTAAGAAACTTGGTTAACAAGGTGAAAATTTGTAGTAGTAGGGTCCATCTAGAATTATTTCTTAAGTCATACAGAAAAAAATTGCGGCAAATAGAAGGGATGGGGATGGGGATGGGGATGAGGATGAGGTCATTATCGTCAATAAAAAAATGTGAAGGATCATTTTCAAGAAAAAAGTGTGGGGTCAGGTATTTAACGTGCACCGAGGGGTAGTTTCTTCCAGGGCCACAGAAACCCAAACGGGAAAAAATATGACCGTTAACGTTTCGAATTTTGCAATACAAAAAGCAGGCTAGTCCTTCTCTGCCCAATTCCCCAACGGTTTATAAAGGATCACTCTGGAAATCTCTGGCCGTTTTCGCCAGCTCTTGACACGTGTAGACATTTTGCTGGCCCAGTCTGACATTAATTTATCACAACTTTTTGCAACTTAAAATTAAACTGCTAGGCTGACCAAAAAAGTTATAAGTTGCAAGAAAAGTTTTTAGAAAAAAACTGTTACCGGTTTCAAAAAAAATTTAGACGCCACGATTTTCAATATCCAACTAGAAAATATATAATATAGTTCAAGCGATAACAAAGATGAACTATAAATATAGATGTTTTAAATTTAAATTTTTATAATTTTTTGGGATTAGGTTACATTTTTTATAAATATTTTAATTTTGACGTGGATGATTTGTCTTTAATTAGACCAAAAAGAGGAATTAGTTAGAGTGCACATAAATTAACCTGTACAATCATAATCATTGAATGCAACTAGAGATGTTAACTAATGAGAGCTCTGTGATTGGTCAATCTTAACTTTATTTGTCGAGTTCAAATTTCTGTTCAAGTTGGGTTCAATATGAGTTCACCAATATTTGAGATAAATTTGAGTTAATTTTTTTACGAGAAATGGTATTAAACTTAATTCTAAAACTTAATAATCGATTTTAAATAAAATCTCTTAAGGTGTGTATCACAAACATGTACAATTAATCATAATATCGACACTAAAAGTGAAAATTTTCAAAAATTTATTATAAAAGATAGCGAAAAAGAGGTGCATATATAATATAGAGTAATTTTAATTCAATATAATTTATTAATTTAATTTGTTGATCAAATTATTTATTATTATTGAATTAATAATAGATCTTAGTATTTATTAAGATTCATTGTTAATTCAATAATATGATGAATTAAGTTAATAAATTATATCATATCAATAAACTAAGTTTAAATAATATTATTGTATAATAAAAAATGGAGCTATGTGGGATCGCATTTATAGTTGTTTAATTTTGGACTAAAGATTGTTTAATGATAAATTGTATTACTTATGAACATGAATATGAATATTTATATTGCAAACAATGTTATTTGAATTTGATTTATTGATCTAATTTGTTAATATAATTATTAATAATTATTGTTAGGATCCGTAATCAATTCAATAATTATGGTTTGATTAAATTAAGTTTTACCAAATTAAATTTAAATAAAATTATTATTATATTTATTTTAGATAATAATTTTATTTGAATTTAATTATTATTATATAAGTTGCCAAGGACGTGGATGTGTTAGCTTATAAAGATGGGGAACAAATGTGGGCCCAAGAATGTCCCCTTTAATTATCTGGCATGATAATGCCAGCTGTGTGCCACGTGATCCTTCATTAGCCCACCGGAAGATGGATATAATGATATTATGTTTAACACAATAAACAAACTTCAGACTTGCACTCTCAGAGAATGTTCAAAAAAAAATAAATAAACAAAAAAACTGGTGGATTGAGGGTAAACAATCACTTATGCTCCGTTTTAATATAATGCAAAAATAGAAGGAAAAAAAGTTAAAAGAATAAAAAGTTGGAGCGATAAATAAAATATTATATTTAATAAGGAAAGAAAATAGGAAGAATAAAAAAGTAGATGGATTAACGTTCCTTTTAACTCACCAAAATCAATCCCTTTAAAATCGGAAGAAAATTGGATGAAAAGTTAATTATTTATGTTAAGATATATTTTATTTGTCTATATATCTTTTTATATATACATATATATTATGTATACATTAATTTCATATAAAAATATAATAATAAAATATGTATTTATATATATATTTTTTAAAAAAATTAAAATTAAATAAAAAATTTTAAATTTTTTTTTCAATTTAACTAGGGTTGAAATTTTTTGACTCAACACGATGACACGATTTAAACTCGACATGAATTTTATGACACGAACTTGATTAATTCGAATACGAATATGACATGAAAATAAACAGGTCAACTCATAACTCGACATAACATAATTAATTAAATGAGTTGAGTTACGTATGACTAATGTTCGACACAAACTCATAATGACTCAACACGAATCTGACACGATACGATTCGACTGTCATCTCTAATCTTAGCCAGTATAAAAAAAAAAATTAGTCATTTTTATTTTTCATCCATCCAACCAAACACAAAAGAAGAAAAGTGTATTATTTCTATTTTCCTTCCTTGAACAATAGAAAATGTATTTATTTTACTTTCTATCATTTCTATTTTTCATAATTCATACTAAATGGAACATTAATCCAAACTATAATAAAAGAATAAATAACAGACTTTTTTACCTCATCGAGCCACACCAATGTCTTTGTTTTCTCTTCTCAATAAAGCCCCCCTTGACCACAGGTGGACTGCTACATTAAATTTTGACTTAAATGTTTTTTGTAGTTTCACGTTAAAACAATCTTGCCGATGCGTATAAAAAATTGTTAATAAATAATTTTACTAACGGTACATTGGTTCAATAACTCTTTGACTCGTGGAAGTTTTATTTTTTTGAGATTAAAAGATTTAAGTTTTTCTGAGTGATAAAATGGTGATTGATTGGAAGGACGAAACTCAATTATTTGGACAAATCATATCCAATTCTTTCATATGAATTTAAATTTTCATTGAAGCTCGAGTTTTGATTTCACTGGTTTATGCACATGAAATTTGTCCTCGATTCTATTCGAACTTATAAGCTTGAGCAACATAAACATACTTTTATTCGTCGAGAACATATCAAAATTTTTTTCTGTTTTCTAAAAAGAAAATACAAAATAATATTACTCTCATCAATACGTATTTTTCTTGCAAAAATGTTGCGTCTATTTAACGAAAAATCTAATGATATTAGCATTAGTATCACAATGAGAGTTTCCAAGAAAATATTGGTGGCACCAAAAAATTGCAACACCCTCGTAGAAGTATCTGGATAGGGCAAATATAACACCCAACCTATAGATTGGAACAAAACCCTACTAACACACATGAGGATAAGGGCACCTAATGAAATTTTTTTTTTTTGTTACAGGTTGTCCAAGTTTGTTTTGATTATTCCTTCGAGTTCAACATTGGACCACCTTAATAGATCTTATGATTGCATATTGTTTGGGAAAAAAATGAGTCTATATATATATATAGAGAGAGAGAGAGAGAGATATGGTAAGGGAATTTTTTTTTTTTTTGGGAAAGTGATGAAAAGAGAACTTTAACAAAGATCATGTGGATAAGCATTGAATAACAAGCGTGATTCTTGGAAAAGAAGAAGGTGAAAAAAGAGGCAGCCTAGCAACTACAGTATATATGATTGATTGATACACCACATAAATAAATTAAATAAAAGCAATGTTATGTAATCCAAACCTATAATCTAAATTTATATCTGAAATGAAGAGGATCATTAGATCAATGAATCTCATTTAAAAAAATTAATGAGATTCATTCATCTAATGTTTTCCTTTACATTAAAAATTTTGGTTTCATAATATTTTTTATTAAAGAATTAGTGGGTGGAGGAGGGCACATGGTACATATATTATGTCTCATTCATTTTCTGTCGCTACTTAAAAATAAAACCGTTAAATTGAGAGGGATACATAAAAGGCAGCCAGACTAAAAGACCACTTTAGCAATTATTCTACCTAATAAAGGATGCCTCCCTGTTCCACTTATAATCAGTAACAGTAATAATTAAAACTAAACTAAATTAGTAATTAAAGCACTATGAAGCTCATTTTCAAGTTTCCTAAAATTTGGCAGTTCAGAGGTGAATATTGCTGCATACCCAAAATAGTCTGTCTTAATTACTATTATTATTTTTGGTAATACAATCTCATTTCAAATATGTGATTTTTACTACAACAAAAATCTCAAATGTATATAATCCCAATAAAATGAAATAAAATAAAATCGACAGTCAAACTTGAATTTCCTAAATTACCTCACAAATTACACTTGACTTGTTATTTTACTATCCAATCCAAGCAAATTTCTTATATTGCCTCACAAATTACTCTTGACTTGTTATTTTACTATCCAAACCAAGCAAATTTCTTATATTGCCTCACAAATTACTCTTGACTTGTTATTTTACTATCCAAACCAAGCAAATTTCTTATATTGCCTCACAAATTACTCTTGACATGTTTAAGAAAAGAATAATCATGTTTGAATTTGAGAATATCAGTCCTATTTTGATCCATAACCAACACCCCTATGCAAATATATTGTCATAATTAAGTATTAATTGAGACGAATCACTTAAACTCGACTCAGATAAAACTCAAGTTCAAAGTCGCAAAACTCTCGGTTAATTAAGACCGCACCTTAAAGAACAGTAAAGGAAGACGAAGGGGGAAAAAATGTGAATTCAGCCGAAAAACTTTGGGGAGAGAGAGAAAAAAAAAGGGCTTAAGAAAAAGACATTGTAGCCGTTGTAGAGAATAGTAGGTTTTGGTTGGATGCGAGGCTGCCGATTCAGGCCTATAACAGTGTAACAAGAGAGACTAGAGATTACCCCACCATACCAGATGATTAGCCATCACATGGTCTGGTTGTCTTTCTTCTGGTCCCATCCTCCACACTCTCTCTCTCTCTCTCTATATATCCCTCCAAACTTCATTTTATAATGATTCCATTGTACTTAATTGCCTAAAAAGCCCTCAGCTTATCCATAAATGCTCCATTTCCCAACCCTCTCTTCACTCTCTTAAAAAACCTTCTCACCACCTCATTTCCAAGCTTAACCGAGAGGAAAACAGAGAGAGAGAGAGACGTTCAGAGTAGAAGAGATAAAGAAAGAGAGTGAAGAAGATGTCGAAGGAAGTGAGCGAAGAGGGACACACCCACGGCAAAGACTACGTGGATCCACCACCAGCACCACTCTTCGACCTCGCCGAGATCAAACTCTGGTCCTTCTACAGAGCTCTCATCGCCGAGTTCGTCGCCACCCTCCTTTTCCTCTACGTCTCAGTCGCCACCGTCATAGGCCACAAGAAACAGACCGGAGATTGCGACGGCGTTGGCCTCTTGGGCATCGCTTGGGCCTTCGGCGGCATGATCTTCATCCTCGTTTACTGCACCGCCGGCGTCTCCGGTAACAAGAACAAAAAACCATTCAGATCCCTCTCTCTCTCTCTCTATATTGTACTTTTTCTGATTTTTTTGGGTGGGAAAATTTTTGCAGGTGGTCATATTAACCCGGCAGTGACGTTTGGGCTATTTTTGGCGAGGAAGGTGTCTCTGATCAGAGCGGTGGCGTACATGGTAGCACAGTGTTTGGGTGCTATATGTGGAGTTGGGTTGGTTAAGGCTTTCATGAAGCACCCTTACAACTCACAGGGTGGTGGTGCTAACTCTGTAGCTTCAGGGTACAGCAATGGCACAGCTCTTGGTGCTGAGATTATTGGTACTTTCGTTCTGGTCTACACTGTTTTCTCAGCTACCGATCCCAAGAGGAGCGCACGTGACTCTCACGTCCCTGTAAGTACACATTGAAGTGCTATAATAATAGTTTCATGTCTTGTGATCTCTAGTTATTTTGAGAGTTCTTTTTGGTGGTTTAATGTTTTTTGGGTTTTTAATGATATGTGGATCGTTGCATGTAGGTTTTGGCTCCTCTTCCAATTGGGTTTGCCGTGTTCATGGTTCACTTGGCCACCATCCCCATCACCGGTACTGGTATCAACCCAGCTAGGAGCTTTGGTGCTGCAGTGATCTACAACAATGACAAAATCTGGGATGATCATGTAAGTCTCTCTCTTTCTTTCTCTCTCTCGATATGGTTTTTGTACTAACTTAATGGGATGTGTGGTGGACAGTGGATCTTCTGGGTGGGACCATTCGTGGGAGCATTGGCAGCAGCTGCATATCACCAGTACATTTTGAGAGCTGCAGCTATTAAAGCTTTGGGTTCATTCCGCAGCAACCCCACCAACTAAGCTCAACAGCAACAGAACCTATAAAGAAATTGCATTGTCTCTTCTGTTCTCTAATCTATTTGTTTGCTTTTGTGTGTATGGAGAGGAATGTTAATGAACCCTTCTCTCTATTTTTCGTTTTTGTTTTATTTTTCATATAATTTAATCTTTTGTTCCTAGGGTTGGCTGTGTATTTATTTGGTATGAGTAAAATGATGGTGGCGTTGTTTCTTTCAATTTGTCTGCAATAATGGACTCTCTCTCTCTCTTCCTAGACCATGGTCACGTTTAGCCGTTTAGCTTTTCCCTTGAAAACACTACTTTATTCCTCTTTGAAATGAACATGCTGCATCGAAACACGGGTTAAGGGCAATGAACCGCTGGGCTTTTCTGGCCTTTGCGGACATGTTTGGCTATGGGATTCCACTGGTCAGGATTGATTGATTGATTTTTCGTAGGGCGTAGAAAATACAGATTCCTGAGCCTTGACCACTCATAAATGTGAGTTCCAGTAGCGTCATGCCACGTGTGTTCAACGGTCCCACACAAAAGACTTTAAAGTTATAGAAGAAAAAAGATGCTCTGCTATGTGTGTGGTTTAACTTTATTTACACATCTGGCAGGTCAGGTGCCTTTCTCTTTTTGCACTAAAAGACGGCCAATAGATAGGGACTAAAAGAGAGGAAAAAGCAGAATTTAAGTCATATTTTTATGGACACCTCCTCCAATTTTTAAAATATCACATACATACACTCTTGTAAAATATGACTTAAATCCAAGTTTTCATTAGAGAAATAGGATGGAAATTTGATGGCATGCCACTCTGAAGGGAGTGACGGGCCAGCGTGCTTTGCGATCACATGGGGAGAGAACAGGTAGGGATATGAAAGGATGAGGTGGTAGGGTTGGGTACGCTTATCCATCCAAGGCCTTTTTGCAAAAGACGAGCAAAAAGCTAAACTACGCCAACTGGTTTAGCTTTACTTTGTTCAACAGGAATCGTTGGACTCGATTTCAACTACAGGCAAGAGAGAGAGAGAGGTATTTCGTCCAATCATCAATAAAACAAAGTAATATATTTGAGCCTAAAAAACTACGGCACTTTTTTTTTGGGACAACCTTTAGAAATGTCTAAACCAGCTTATGCACACATTAACTAATTTCTTTTTTAGTCCAATTAAATGCCAATTATTTACACCAGAATTAGAGTATTCTTAACAAATAAATCTCTCATAACCTAACCTAAAGAATTGTAAACATTTAAACCCCAAACATCTATATTTACATCTGATTCTGTTACTACTTCATCTACCTTTCGAATTTTCAATAATATTAGATTATATCACTGACATATCATTGAATTAGATCAACAAATTAAATCAATTTTTTTATATTTCAATAGCATTACCCTGTAGCAAAGTCCAAGTTGGTCGAGTTAGAGAAGGTCGAGCTGGAGCTGGGAAAAAGATGGAGATGATGGGCAGAGAGCTATAAGATACCATTTAAACGGCATAACGTTAAATAAACCACCCAAGAGACGCAATGAACATGGAAAGAGATAGAACATACCTGTCACTCACCTGCTATATTCTCTGCTCGCTAGACGTCACAGAGAAGGATTTCACGCTCAAATTAGGCCAACACAACCCAATGAGGGGAGGTCACGTACTCATGATAAAAACCCGAGAGAAAAATCTTTCAATCCACATAAAAGTAGGGTGGGGGGCATATAACTCAGAAAACTGCTGATAACTACGGGTCACACTAATTTCCAACATCTAAATGTCTCGATGAGCTCAATAATTTATCATGATCAGTGGTGTGTGGAATTTTACACACAAGCTTGTAGAACCTGAGCTTAAGATGAATCACAACTTTCATTGGGCCAGCACAAGAATGGACCACACAAGTACATAATGCTCGACAGCAAACGAGAGGTCAACAATACACATCATACCAGAAAAAACCTTACCCTCTACAGTATTATTACCCCAGATCAGTGCTTGTCCATGAATGTGCTTGATTAACCAAGGTCTTCTTTAGCCTTACTGTACCTTCCTTCACAAAGGATAATGTGCCAAAGTACAATCCTGCCACAATAGAGATTAGATCAAGAGAACAGCAGTAGCAACTGACGATAATTACCTAATTGATTGACAGATCAAGAGAACTGCAGTAGCAGCTGCAACATGAAGCTGAATATGCAGTATCAGTCCATGATTGCATTATACCCTAACAACTAAAAATCTCCCAGACTCGACTATGTATAACAAGAAACGCCAAGAGATGTTGAACCATCAGATCATAATAACCATTATGTATGATTCAAATACTTTGTTTGTATAGTACATCTGGCTCAGCTTTTTATTTTGTCTGAAAATTAACAGAAAAGAATGCCCAACGACTTATATATCAGTGCCCAGAAAAGTTACTTACAATATAGAGATCTCTTGAACTCCACACTATAGCAGGATCTGGCCTCCTATTAAAGAACAAAAGACAATTCAGTAATTTAAGGATTGGGTCAACTGGCAAGTCCAACTACATCGAAATTCATCATAAATCATGGGCACAAGAAGAATTTTCATAGCATGGATTACAGTCCAATTATGCAGACCAGCTTGGAAAATAATAATCTCAGAATTAGTCTGCCCAAGAATCAGTCTATTCCATGCTCTTTGCATGGGATGAACTCAAGATTTAGAGAGTAAATAGATTAAGTATATATATATGAAATCCGTACATTTAAATATTACCCAAAAATCTTGTAAAAAAAGTAAGTGATCTAAAAAAATTCACTCATATTTATATATATACTACTAATAAAAGTACCTTACCATAAAAAACTTTTAATTCACTATATTACCCTTATAAAGAATTCTAAATACCACATTATCTGTCTATAGTTAAATACTTAAATATCTAAATTACCATCATATCTTTATGTGTTTAAATCTCTAAATTACTCCTAACATCTTTTAATTCTCTATTTTATTAATATTTTATATAAAAATTATACACGTGCAACACGCGTGATGCATTGCTAGTGTTATTAAAAGAGAAATCACTCATACAAAATATCATATCCCCAACAAAGGAGAGGCAACAAAAGGAGCTTACCCCATTCTAAGGGATCACTGACCAATTATTCGTGCAGTAAAATACAAGGCATTACAATGCACTGGTACCTTAATCAGGCAAAGCAGTTCCTCGCTCAAGGTTGTTCTTGATCTCCAATGTGTACCTGCCAAATGCCCGCTCAATCTTCTTATTGAAATGTTCATTGCGGTCATTGATCGAGTCAATATCCTTCTCCTCATGGAACCTTCTCCTCCTACTAAATGACTTTCGCTTCTCGTCCCTGTCCTTGAGCTCCTTCACCATCTTGTCAATCTTCTCCTCTGAAATCTTTGGTGCCTGTCCATTACATAAAATAAGTTAAACTTCTGATAGTTTCTCGAACATCCCACCACATTAAATTAAAAATTAAGTTGAGCTACTAATCACAGCGAAAATGCCTACTTTTCCATACTGGAGACTCGAAGCTTCTCGGTAAAATTCTGAATCAGCTTCCTTCAATTTGTTGTAGTCTTCAAGGTCAACCTCAATGTTCTTTGTCCGCTTTTTGTATGCATTGTACAATGTCTTCTGATTAAAAACTGTAGACAGAAGTTATCAAACGTTAATATCTCCATCAGAATATCCACCCCCTACCCCCCAAAAAAGGGAAAAAAAATTGCACCTCACAAAAGGACACCATTTCCGAAGTCCAAAATATCAGAAAGATAAAGCTTTATAAAGAAAAGCAAGCATAACCAAACAAGAAGGGAAAGGGTAAAAGGCTCAACATTAGTTCGAAAGTGGGTAGAAAGAAAGGAACCTCCTACCGATGACATAACTAGAAGCACAAAATGTCATGTTATATATGCATACAAAGGTAGGCCTCAAGTGACATCCTTAACTACAGATTTTGATTTTTTTTCCTCATTTCTTTAACTGTTGCCACATACCAACTGAAAGCAATCCACCCAACCATGGAACACCGGTGGGTAGATTTTGTAGTCCCCCCAGTCCAAACAGACTATATGTTAGGCTCCCTTCACAAGACGATCCGTTTTCATCCAACAACCCTGGCATGTCATCAATCAATACTGTCACTTCTCGGAAAGCTCTTATGCAACTAATAACACCTAGGACTTCCTCAATTGATCATCGAAATACTCCATATTTCTGCCAATACCATCATCAGCTAACTAACACCACTGCTATAAGAACAACCACACCTAGACTCTCATCATCATTACCACAATGGCCCTCCAATGCAAGTCACCATTTCCTTGTGGTTACAGCAAGAGTCTGCATGGTACATCTAATCCAAAATGTGCCATCTAGTGTTTCAAACACATCCCTGTGCAGGAGGAACATCCTCCTAACTAGTTCAGAGCCAAGTTTTGTCCCAAAAACAATTAAAAGGTATAATTTCAGCTACAGTAATGTTATATAGCTACAAACACAAGTTCAGAAATTAGCTATTTTATTGGAGAGATTCATGTTTTGTCCTGCCAGGGAGGTAACAGTAAGGACATAAATAGTAGGAGATATGGGTGTGACTAAAGGGTGCATTGGTTATATATAATCAGACATGACTCATGAAAAATAAAAATATGAATGAAAGTGCCTACATAGACATAATTATGTGATTTAATGTATATTGAAAATTAATAAAACACCAAATTAAACTGTTTTTTTTTCTTTCCAGAAAGTCATACTATGATGTTTTCTTAACCATGTATAAAGGAATTTTCCTACAATTTACATCTGCAATAAGAAAGTTAGCCACGAAATGATACTACAAATTTACGTGAAAATGTCATATGATCAGTTCCTCAAAGTTCATGCGGTCTTAAGAAAGGGGGAAAAAGAACCATTCCCAGATGCAAATTGACATTATGCAGATCTGTTCATATAAGTGATACAGCCTTGCCTATATACTTATTTTTGCCTTGCCTATGTTTGTAGGTATATCCAAACAAAAATCAGGGAGCAGGCAGTTTCTACATAGATAAATTAACAGCATCTGAGCTATACCATCCCAACCAACTGGAGCAGGCTCCTTTTCCCATTTCTTATACTTTGTCTCTGCCACATCTTGTGTATCTAGCATGTAAGCTTTAGTCATATCTAAACCATTGGAATCTAAAAGTTTGCCAATTTTTTTCTTCCTCTCCTCCAGCCACTTTTCTTTAGAAATGCCCCTCGACTCTGATGGAGCTTCCATTCTTTTCTTCTCTGCCACCATGGCAGTTTGATTGGCTTTTCTTGCCTCATTCTGCATGTAACGAGACATAAACGAGACTAGAGATGAAAACAAAAAACAATAATAATTGACGACCTCAGCTTAGCTCTCACAGACATAACAGGAGAAATAAAGGAAATTCACATTCAAATTAATGTAAACTCACCATCTTTAGCCTCAACTCAAATAATTTTTTTTGTCTCCCTGTCAGTGATGTGGAGTCTCCTTCCACCTTGTCCTCACCATCATTGTTATCATCCCCATTTGGACTTGGGTGATCTTCAAGATCATGTATTTCATCATGCGGAACTTCACCCTGATCAGAAGTAGCAGAAGAATTCGGCTCAACTTCACTAATGCTTGCCTGCATTACTCCTGGTATAACATATGGAGGGGTTAGGTGATTAAAGAATGTTGCATTTGTAAATGCGCACCTGCATGACAGATTATCTGGCCATTCATTGAACCAGAAATTGGAGAAGGTAAAGGGTCACTGGTTCAAAAATCAGGTCAACCGGATATAAAATATGAGACACTAAAAATATAATGCTTATGATCCTAAAACTACATAAAAAAAAGTTTGAGCTTAAGCACAATATTTGTAATGGGCACACAACATAGATTAATCCTCAATGATGAGACTAACCTGGTTTGTTTTTATTCATCTGCTTTTTGGCTTCGGCAATTATTTTGAAGCAATATTCACTACATTCATGGTATGGGTTTGATGCATTCCTGCAATCTGGGTGCACTCTTCCTTCTTCATCCATATGTTTTGCTTCTATATCACTACAATTACCTGCAGAAAAAATCATTCCAAGCACAAACTATGTTTTAGAATGCAGTATACATATAGCATAACTAATTTAGAAGCTTTTTCAATCCCCAATCTCATTGTAAAATCCATATCTGAAACTTAACGCCCCTTTTCCTTATAGATGGACACACCCGCAGACAGATATGGTTGTATGTATGCATGCATATATAGGCGTAAACATAAATAAAAGATTTAGAAGAAGTTCCCATCATAAATGAACAAAAAACCTGAAAAAACTCCAGAAAATCTCACGACTCAAATTGCAAGTAATTCAAGCACATGCAGTGTAAAAGAAATTGAAATTTCGCTTATTTGTGCTGATTGATTTCGTTAAATAAGAACTGGACACTCACATCCAACCCAACGATATATCATATATAGCTGAGCAGAATGTTTCTTTTCCTATGGTTCCTAGTGCTGAATCGAGAGTTTAAGTGGAAAAAAAACAAAATTATGAATAAAAGGAAACCCTAGATCAATACAGTGCGATTACAGTTCGACGAAATTGTTACTTTCAATCACAAATCTTGAGCGAGCGAGCGAGAGAGATTTGTGAGAAAATCTAGGGCTTTCTTTGGTTGAGAGGATTAAGGGTGTGTTTGGATCTAGGAAGCACAGACACTTCATTTTGGGCAGAGTGTCGGTGTCAGACACGTCTGGGACACGGACACGTGTCGGACACGTTAAAATGAGTGTCCGATTTTTTTATTATTAAATTTTTTTTAGGACACGTGGCCGACACGTTCAGGACACACTGGGAGACACGTTTTGAGATTTATTTTCAATTTTTTAATTAGGAGATATTTTTATAATTTTAAAGGAATATGAGTCACAATCATAATATAAAAGAAGTTATAATAATTACATTGAACATAGGACATGAATATAATATAATTTTGGATATGAATACGAACTTATATACAAATAGAATAGTCTTTAATATGAAAGTAATGTGAGAAAAAATGGGATTACAAAATTATAGAAGTCATTGATTATAGAAGTAAAAGTCATTAATTACAAAATTGGGATTACAAAATTGTAGAAGTTATTGATTACAAAATATTTTTAAAGTAAAAGTTGTAGAAGTCATTGATTATTGAATTATGGATGTTAATATTGTATATGTATTAATATATCTTATATTATACTTTTCATGCAATGACATCTTGATGTAAATTTTTAGAATTAGGAAAATAATGAATTAAAAAATTATTATGATAATATTTTTATTTTATCAAATGATTTTATATATATATATATATAAAATACATATTATTTAACGTATCGCTAACGTGTCCGTGTTCTACTTTTTTGAAAAATTTCGTGTCGGCGTGTCCGTGTCGTGTCGTATCCGTGCTTCTTAGGTTTGGATAATAGATTTGGATAGGCTAGGATTTCTTTTTTATATCCTAACCTATCCAACTTAAACCCACTCAGCCACTTAAATTAGATGGGTTAGGGATTATATCCGGTCCAAACCATTGTCTGGAAAACAAAAGTGCAATTTCGTGGGCCCCATGGATTAGATCATTTCTTTTGTAGAAGTTTACCATTCTACCCATGGGCCTCTCTCTCTCTCTCTCTTTAAAGTAAAACCTCTACAATGCAAGGATAAATATTATTAATTCCAAATCAAATATTACACCTAATCGGGGAGACATAAAACCTTACCCGTAAGAATGAATCTAAGTACATCATGATCACAAAGTAATAAAATGGAAAATGAAATTCATGAAATGGAAAAGGAAATTCATAAGCTTTCCACCCAAAAAGTTTTGCTGTAGGTGGAGCCTCCTGTTTCCACATAGCTGCTGCCACTTCATCAACTTCACTCCTCATTCTAATAGAAATAGAATCCCAAGCCGAATGCAAAGAAAAATAACTGAGCTTGTTAGAGTCCAAGAAGGCTCTACATGGCATCAATGGTAAGTAAACTTTGTATGTGGTAGCTGCCATATGGTACCAGTTAATAACTCAGAGATCATTTACACAATTAATCAAACATATTATGCTCAACATTCTAGATGTACACACAGATGCATAAAACCAATTCATACTTCATAATTCTCAAATCCCAATTCATACTTCATAATTCATAAATCACAATTCATAATTCCAAATTCACCATTCATAATTCATAATTCCAAATTCTCCATTCATAATTCAATTCATGATACATAATTCAATTCACAATTCATACTTCAATTCTCAAAAACAAAATGAAACCAAAACACAGTATTGTTGGCTCTGAGTAGCTTGAATATTTGTAAGAAAATAATCAACACATAAATCATCAAAACGAAAAAACTATGAGTAGCAATCGACCAAGCACTTGAACAATATACCAGAAAAACATAGAGGAGAAGATGAAAAAATGTAAAAGTCATACTCAGCTAGCAGTTAAATACACTTGTTAATCAAACATAACTAACAACCTAGTATTAATAAAATGAATTCAAATTATAGACACACACAATTGGGCTAAGAAAACCCTCCGACCTTGACAGTATGTGAATGAAGAAGAAGATTAAGCTCGGGGTATGATTTACAATTGATCTCGTAACTCTCCAATATTAGGCAAGAAGATTAAGCTTGGGGGGGTATGATTTACAATTGACCTCGTAACTCTCCAATATTAGGCATAAAATAAGGAATCCAATTCCTCACAAAAGTGAACAAAGTTTCATTCTCCACTGTTTGGAATCCAATTCACTTATTGACCACCACCACCACCACAAAAATGACTCAAATCTGAAAGACAGAGAGGAGAATTAGGGTTTCAAAATCACCCACCATCACATCAGATCTGAGAGATAGAGAGGGGAGTTAATTTCATAACAGAGGTTAGGATTTCATAACAGAGGTTAGGGTTTCAAAATTATCCACCATCGTGGTGAAGATCTCTTCTTCATTCGGTCCACTCAGGCACCCAAACCCATCCCAACAGAAACGCTGGGCTTGGGCTTCGTCACCTTCACAATGCGAGAGAGAGAGAGAGAGAGAGAGAGAGAGAGACCGGAGAAACTTACCTCAATCCAGCGATGTCGTCAACCACACAAAGCAGAAAGTTGGAGGACCTTAGATTGTCGTCTTCTTCCTCGCCTCGGTGCAACAGGCCTTGGACGAGCTCAGCTCCTTCGCGCTCTGGTTGACAGGAGAAGAGAGAGGTACGATGCTGCGGAGAAGAGAGGAGGGGCAATATGTCTCATCCAATCCAACTAATGGATAACCACCTTTAACCCACTATTCAAACGCCCCTAAATATCGCGGCAGAGAATTTACTTTGTACAACACAGACAGCGCCGGGCTTTTACTGGTTGATTATTACACTCTCCGTCGTGAATTAGGAAATACGGTGGGACGATGAGACATTATGTGGGCCTGCTGGGTCATCTGGCCCTTGTATTGGAATGGCCCAATCAAGCCCATGTAATATGTCTGTTTTGTAAACAACCCTTGTTTTTTATAACACTTATGTGTTTTCTTACGAAGCACCGCGATATGATAAAATTTAAAAAATAGAATATAGGTACGGCTATAATAAAATATATTTAATATTTTTATTAATTTTAACCAGTTTAATACTTATATATTTCGATAGTTCTTTAATATACAATAAGGAAAATTAGCAATTTTTTCTAGTTTTAAGAAAATATATATCGTATCGTTGTAGTATATTCACAAAGTGAAGTGACTAATTAAAGGAATCAAAACTAATATTTAGAAGTAATTTTTGCTAAAATAATAATGTAATAACTTTATTTTATACTTTTTTGACATGTAATTGTAAATAATCCTTAATAAACACTCATGTGCCTTTAGAGTAATATGAATTTTTTGTTAATGTGTTGTATGATATGTGAATTCGAAAAGAGATGTTAAAAGTTTAACTCAAAAATTATATATGTTACTCGACCACAAATGTATCCGTGAAGTATCATAATATTTAATTATTATTGGATACGTAGAAAGTGTATCCGATACGTATCCTCGAGCATCCGACGAGTATCATATCTAATACGGTATCAGATACGAGTACGTCAACCTCAACAAAGTTTCCGTGCTTCATATGTGCTTTCAAAAACATGGAAAAAAATGTAAACACACACGTCCTTCAACCTCAATTAATGAGGTCTTGTCTTTGAACCCCATTACCAGTATAAAAGCTATTCTTTTTGTTCCAAGTATAAAAAAACTTTTTTCCCCCTTTTTTACTTCTCTCATTCGTCTCTCTCTTGTGCTTCTCTCATTCGGCTCTCTATTTTGAAGCCACTCTAGGCGAAGTAAGCTCAAGCGAACGGCGAAACTCCAACAAAGGAAGTTCTAGTGATGGAAGCACTGTTTTTTCAAATTTTGTACTCTCTCCGTCTCCATCTCCATCGATCTCTTTCTCTCTCTAACCCTTCTGTGGAATTTTTTTTTTATTGAACTATTTATGTTTGTTATATTCACAGATCTATTTATATATGCATATATATACATAGATCTGTGGGTTTCAGTGGTGGGGTTGGGTTGTGGTTTTGGGTGGTCAGTGGAGATTTGTTTGTGTTTGTTATAGATTTGTTTGGGTTGTGGGTTTCGGTTGGATCTGCTAGTAGTAAGGAGGAAAAAGACTTGTTATGGATTTTTTTAGTTGGGCCTGCCAATAGTAAGAAGGAAGAAGACTTTGGTTTGTCAAAGTCTATATCCCCATTATCATTCTTTGTAATTTTTGGGATTTGTTTTGAAAGATTAAAGCCATATTAGGCTTTCAATCCTTTTGATTCTTGTAATTCTTTAAATTGATGAAATAAAATTTCTTTTTCTTTTTTTGTTTTTTTTAAAAAAAGTGGTGGGGTTAGGTGGTGGTTTTGGGTGGCCAGTGGGGTTTGAGTGGTGGGGTTTGGGTTGTTAGTGAGGTTTGAGTGGTGAATTTTTGATATAATACTAAATTGGTTTTTTATTTTTGTTTTTACAAATTTTCAAAAATATAAATGAC